AAGTGTGGTATTATCTCACAGCGCTGCTTTGAGACGTGCCTGGTGACCACGCCGCTGGGCTGCCAGTCGGTTGCGTTCTTCGTTCTTCCATCTGAGGTCGGTGTCTCTGAACCATGTAAGCCAGGCAGGCAGCACCTGCGGCCTCCTTCGCACCAGCGGAGGTGCTGAGATGAAATCCCCCAGCTCCGTTTGGTTCAGGACAGCCGCTGACAGTGACTGCTGTTTGCCAAGACTTGCTGGGTGCCGAGCCTGGTGTCACTCAGCGCTGCGAGTGGCCGGCCCTGTGCCTCTGGTCCCAGCCCTGGGCGTGCTGCTGGCACTGGGGGCCTGCTCGCCTCTTTCCACTGACGCTCATCCAGGCTGCGCAGGAGGAGCCTTTCCTGCTCCTGACCGCCTCACCGCCTTACACGCATGGCTCCCTCCTCTGGGTTCCCCGCAGGCAGGATTGCCTTGCCGTCAGTCAGTCAGTCAGTCAGTCAGTGCCCTTCCCCCGCCTGCCTGCCTGCCTTTGAGCCCTGTGGCCCGAGCTGCCTGTGGGAGAACAGAGCCGAGATGCTGCCTCTGGCTGGGTTCATCACGCCAACACGTGCCCATCTTGCTCTCGCCCAAGATCTGACCTTGACCGTGACAGGCTTCCAGGTGGAAGACAGTCTTTGCCCACAGGGCACTGCCTATGTGCTTCTTTGCCGTTGTGAATGGAGATATAACATCAAGTGAAGCCCTAATTCCGTGGTAAGCTGTGAATTCTAATGCTCAACTAAATTCACACCTGAGGATTTAGGATGCATTTTGGGCTGTTTCACAAGGCACGGGTACCAGCTGGCTGTCCTTGAGGTACCTGAACTTCTAACTTCATCATCCATTCTTTATGCTTACTGTTTTCCTACTTGGGGAAAATTAATACAGGAGAACCTTTGTAGCGTCTGTCATTGAATCTCACCCTAAACACTTTATGGTGAGGAGTGTTTGTTGTTTTTGTTTACTGGTGCAGGCAGTATATTTTAATTGTTCTAGTGAACCTCACACAGCTAGTGAACAAGGGAGGCCTAATAGCAGGGTTTAGCAAAGGGAAAAGAGGACGCACAGTGTTCCGAAGGGTGTGCAGGTTTTAAAGTGGGATGTACAGAGGGTTGCTATCCTCAAGAACAGTCTTCCCACAGTCTCATTGGGACAGCTGCACTTCGAGCAGTGCTGCCCACAGGCACTTTCCCGAGTCCCCGGGCCACCATGGAGCGATTTGCTTACCGTTCTTGCAGCCTGCTTGCGTCGTGTCTGTTGTCTGAATGCAGAAAGTCACCGGCTGTCATCTTCATTTTTAACTTTTAAAAATTTATTTTACTGGGGCCGGCGCTGCAGTGCACAGATAAAGTCGCTGCCTGTGATGCCAGCATCCTATATGGATGCCGGTTCAGGTCCAGTTGTCCTCTTCCAGTCCAGCTCACTGGTAATGCGCTGGGAAGGCAGCAGAATGGCCCAAGCCCTTGGCCCCTGCACCCATGTGGGAGACCCAGAAGCTCCTGGCTCCTGCTTCGAACAAGCCCAGCTCCATTTGGGGAATGACCAGTGGATGAAAGATCTGTCTGTCTGTCTGTCTCTTTCCCTCTCTCTCTAACTCTGCCTTTCAATACATAGATAAAAATCTTTTTTTTAATGTATTTTTATTATTAAAAGGCATAGAGACAGATATTTCCCTCCCACACTGCTTCACTCCTGAATGCTGACAGCAGCGAGGGCTGGATCAGTCAAAGCCAGCTGCGAGCTCATTCTGGATCTCCCACGTGGGTGGCAGGGCCCCAGCTATTTGAGCTGCTTCCCAGGGTGCACCTTATCAGGGCTGGATCAGGAACAGAGCTGGACTCAAACCCAGGCACTGCAGGATGGGATGTGATGTTCTAAGCTGCATCCCAACACCTGCCCTGCCGTTGGTCTCTTAAACCCACTTCTAGGCCTGCATCATGGAGCCGGGGGTTAAATACTCAACAGGTAGCTACTGAATTCATGAATATGGAAAGTTTTCTAAAATGGAAAAATCACTGCCCCATGCCCTTCGTGGTGTTTCGATTTCAGAGTATGTATTACTTTTTTTTTTTTTTTTTGACAGGCAGAGTGGATAGTGAGAGAGAGTGTATTACTTTTAAGTAGCCATAAGAAGACTGGATTCAGAAAACACATTCCTCCTGAGACTGAGAGGGCAGTACAGAGAGACTGAGGGGTGGACATGGAGGAGAATTCAGCCTCGTCGGTCTGTTTGTTCAGCCAGCCAGCACATTTCTAATGGACGTGTATGTGTGCTTGCCGCTGGGGGTGTAGCTACAGACGGGGCCAGTGGCCATTTTGGAAGGCGCTGGGATAAGTACGTGGAGAGGCTGTGGGATCACAGACAGACGCAGGCACTTTCCCTCGCAGAATCAGTCTCTAAACCAGGGAGAAGTGACAGGTCAGCAGCCCCTGGGGCCAAGCTAGCAGGGGCACGTGGGAGGTGGGGACCAGGCGGACGGAGCGCACGGGCAGCAGGCCCAGAGAGAGCCTCTGCGGCACAGACTGAGACCGGCCGCGGAAGGGAGCCCCTGGCTGCATGCAGACCAGCTCCATGGGGCACACGTGTGTGGGACGTTCGGCGCCAGTGACGGTGCTGGGGCTTCATGCTAACAGCTGGGGCCCACCCAGGGCCGGGTACAGGGGCGCACAGACACCTCCGGCTGCAGGCTGAACACCAAACTGGGGGCCGTGGGAGGAGCTTAGCAGGGCAGGAATCAGGGAGACCCACGGTGGGGGGGACCCCTGGAGCGGCGCGGAGGAGAGAAACGCTGGCTGCCGATGGATCCGAAACCGTTTAGAGTACCAGGGGTGAGGGGACTGAGGACGCTTCCAGGCTTCTGGCTTGGATGGTTGCTCAGTCACAAAACTGGAGACGCAAGTCGTCTCCCAGCCGCTCACTAACCTTGCTGTGAGCCGCCCAGCGGCCGCGCCCTGCGGCTGCAGAACCGCCCAGAGCCATGCGGCTCGAAGTTTAGCAGCATCGGCCTTACCTGGGAAGCCTGCAGAGCCAGCGGGCCGGGCGCCGTGCTCGTGTTTCTCCATCAGGCCGGCCAGGCTGAGACCCGATCGATCTTCCACCTGTCATGAGACTCCAGGGGGTGCGGGCCAGGCGGAACCAGCTGCTTCGCCGTGAGCGTGCTCCCCTGGAGATCTTGCTACGCCTCGGGGCTGACATCGCTGGGAGAGCCTCCAGCTCGCACCAGCTCCCAGGTGTTGCTAATGCGGCTGCCCAGGAGTCGCTCTCTGAGTAGTGTTGATCTCAACCTTGGCTGCTGGCTGGGGTCAGCTGAGAAGCATGTCAAAGAGTACTACCCCCGGGGTCCCCACTCTGAGACCCTGGCTTGACTGGCTGGTGGTGCAGCCCAGGCATGCAGACTCCAGGTGATTCTGAGAGGCACCGGAGTTGAGAGTCCCTGGTGCAGATGAGAGGGCCTTCCCACCCCCACTGCTTTGAAGTCAGAACGAAGAGTCATCCATCGGCTGTCTCCCCAGAGTGTAGGAGTGTTGCCTCCTGCTCTCGCCTCCGGACTCCTTGCCTGTGGATCCTGAGACTGAGGGGCCAACATGGCCACAGTGCTCAGTCTTTTAATTCTGTAAACCACACTGTGTGGGACGTTCGGTACCAGTGATGGTGCTGGGGCTTCATGCTAACAGCTGGGGCCCACCCAGGGCCGGGTACAGGGGCGCACAGACACCTGTGCTAAGTGCGGAAAGCCTGCAGTGTGTGCTGTTCGGCGACGGGATGGTAATGAAGATTAGCTCAGTCCTCACTTGGTTGGAGGAGAAAGCCTGAAGCTAGGCAGAGCTGGAAGGAGTGTTACTCCTGGAGCTGGGTGAGACGCCCACGCTCCATGTTGGACCAGCTGGGTTCAGTTCCTGGCTCTAGCTCCAGTCTCAGGGTCTACAGTGCAGACCCCAGTACGCACCAGTAATGACTCAGGCGGCTGGGTCCTGTCACCCATGTGGAAAACCTGAATTGAGTTCCTCGCTCCCAGCTTGAGCCCTGGCTGTCAGACACACCTGGCGAGTGAACCAACAGATAAGACCCTCCCTCCCCGACCCCTGTGTGTGTCTCCTCCCCCAGCCTCCCCCTCCCTCTCGAGGTTGTGTGAGTTGTGTGTGAGTTAACAGCTTGCTGGGTGTACACTAGCCTCTCCTGTGTGGCCTTGTCACTGGTGCCTTCCAGCCTCACAGCTTCCTTCTCACCCGTGCAAAGCCGCTGATTCCCATCCCGCCGTAGAAGAGCTTGGGTGGGTTTTCGGTCACCGTCCTGAGGTTTTAGGTAGATTACGAGGGGCCACACCCATGCGGTGTGTTGCAGTTTGCTTGCATTAAGTGAGTTCTGACATGCCCTGAGGACACTCCCCGGCCGCAGGCGAACAGTGATGGCCTCAGAACGTGACTGCCCCCGCATCAGTCATCGGGCCTTCCCGGACTCAGCACACAACACTAACAGGCACGCTTCTCCGCTTTCCTGTGCAGGGAGAGCTGCCTGTGTAGGGGGAGAGGCCACGGGCTGCTTGAGACAGGAGGGCACCGCGCAGTGCCTTTCATTAAAGGAAAAAGCGAAACAAGTGACCACGCAGAAAAGGAGCAGAACCAGCTAGCTGTAGTCAAGGCAGGCCTACCTCCTGCCTGCCATGGCAGGGAAAAGAAGTGGCTCCTTAGGGTGAACCGAACTCACCGTCGGCAGTGTCAAAGGCAAGGATGTTTGGACGCACTGTGCAGTCCTTTTTTTATAAGTGCCAACTGAACTCATTAAAATCAGATTTGCTTTCTAGAAGGAATTGTGTGTATCTACCAAGAGATGCACTTTAAAACTCCATAAAATTCAGCCGTGTGTACATTGAGTTGTGTATAAAAACAAAAGTATATGAATAACCACATCCTAATTAATTTGTGCTCAGTGTAGGGTGGATTTCTGAAGCTGTGTTAATGTATTTGTGTCCTTTTCTTACCAGCTTTCAACCTGGAGACTTGTCGACTTATGGTCTCAATGCTGGATGTATCCTTTACTTTGAGTCTTGTCTAGAATGTTGTTTCCTTACAAAAAAAATCACCCTTAAGGGACGTTATCTCAGAATTAAAACCCAGTCAACATGAAGAGACAAATGACCACTCAGAAGCCTTCTGAAATGATTTGCCTTTTAGGATGTGATTTGATATGAAAAAAGAACGAAAGGAGGTTTAGAAGTAGAATGTTAGTCAAACATACAAGGAAGAATCAAAGTAAGACAAGCCAAGGTACTTTAAAAACTCATGGAGGGAGGCCGGTGCCGCAGCTCACTAGGCTAATCCTCCACCTTGCGGCACCAGCACACCGGGTTCTAGTCCTGGTCGGGGTGCTGCATTCTGTCCGGTTGCCCCTCTTCCAGGCCAGCTCTCTGCTGTGGCCGGGAGTGCAGTGGAGGATGGCCCAATGCCTTGGGCCCTGCACCCGCAGGGAGACCAGGAGAAGCACCTGGCTCCTGCCTTCGGATCAGCGTGGTGCGCGGCCCATGGCGGCCATTGGAGGGTGAACCAAGGGCAAAGGAAGACCTTTCTCTCTGTCTCTCTCTCTCCCTCTCTCTCACTGTCTACTCTGCCTGTCAAAAAATAAAAAAACTCATGGAAAGTACATATGAAAAAATCTATGCATAGATTTCAAATTTTCTTGCACCAAAATTACTTTGACTCCATTCCCCACAAACTTTCAGAAGTCCCCCCCTTCCAGAAGCCAGGGGTCAGAAAAGCTTTTGTCTGTCACGTTGCCTGCTCCGTTGTGAGTGACACCTGACTTCCAAGCGATGCGATTTTTCACATCAGTTTTCCTGTGCTGAGCTCATGGTGTCTTCCTTCCCACCTCGTTTCCCGGAAATTGTAGTCCTTGGGTACAGGAGGGTTTCACAAGGGAATGTCTGAGCAAAGAGGGCCCAGGGCTGAGGATGAACAGCCCCGCCTGGGCACCCAGTTCCTGCAACACAGTGGCTGTTCGCGTGGGCTCACGGTGGTGCTGCCGGTTCTTGGTTATCGGCTCTCACAGCTTATCTTTCCCCACAGTTATTATGGTTACTCGGAGTTTCTCCTCCATGGGCCCTTTCTGTCGTATCTTTTTTTGTTTTATCATCAATTTATTCTTATTATAGCAAGAAGCATCTGCAGTGACTTTTTTTAGCCATTTTATCAGAAAGAACATTGAGTGCCTCTTATCCTTGAACTTGCGTACAATCATTAGAAAACATTGCGAAATAAAGAAGCTGTGATCCTTGATGGCGGTTCAGAGAGATATGTCTGGCACCATGGGTTTCACTGAATTTAAAGAACTCTGGGCCGTGCTGAATGGCTGGAGACAACACTTCATCAGTTTTGACAGCGACAGGAGTGGAACCGTGGAGCCACAGGAGTTGCAGAAGGCGCTGACAGCAATGGGTGCGTATGGCCGACCCAGCACAAAGCGCGCGAAACCAGAGGGTCACTTAGGTGCAGGAATGGGGCCACCCTGCTTTGTGAACTGGGAGGACTCGTTCTTTCTGTTTTTCATTCTCAAAATAAGAGCTCCAGAAGGCAGCTTCTGGTTCTTAGTGGTTGTTGTGTCCTCTTAGCCCAAATGAATTCAGCACCTTAAAGCATCGCGCTTGGTTCTTGTGTCACGGTCTCTCTTTTGGCAGGCCTTGAGTTCTTCCGCTGGACAGTTTTTCTCCCTTTCAGGATTCAGGTTGAGTCCGCAGGCTGTGAATGCAATTGCAAAACGGTACAGCACCAACGGCAAGATCACCTTCGATGACTACATCGCCTGCTGTGTCAAGCTGAGGGCCCTCACAGGTGCGTCCCGTGAGGTCGTGCTCCCCCACCCCCAGAGCCAGGAAGACACAGCTCGTCCGACGTGTCACGTCTCAGTGCCTCTGTACTTTCATTCTCCCCATTTCCCCCCTTGGTTTAGTTGGATGTCTGCCATTGCTATTAGGTGTATCCGACCAAATTGTGTCCAAAAGTCTTTTTAGGTTAGTAAGTAATCTGCCTCTAAAATAATCTTCACTAAATCTTACTAAAATATTCCAGAACATCATCTTATGAGAGTTTTCAGCCTGGAATGTGAAATGATTGAAAGGAGCAAATTAAAGTGAATCCTCACTGGGGCAGAGCCGAAATGGGTAGGATGGTTGATCACAGCCCATCTGTCGTAGTAGGGGCTCCAGCTTGCTGTGTGCTAGTTAAGCAGTATCTACATTGTTAAGAAGTCTGAAATGTAATGGCCTTGGAAGTTGCAAGCTTTCACAGCTCCATGGTGAGATACTTTGTTCCAGCTCCACTTTGAAAAAGACAACCTGGGCAGTCTGCTCACTGAGTCTCCTGCTTCATGCTGAACTTCTTCGCCTTGGCCTTGGTCTTTGCTTCATGACGGTGTACCCGGTAAGTGTTACTGCATTTGAACCCAATTCCAAAATAATTTAACTATTATGATTTTAGGAAAGCTATATAAAGAACACTCATAAATTTCACTGTGTTGTTTTACAGACAGCTTTCGAAGACGGGATACTGGTCAGCAAGGTGTTGTGAATTTCCCGTATGACGACGTAAGTCTCAGTAACTTAAGAGCTAACAGATGGAGAAGTTGCATGCCCAACGGGCAGTCCTTTCAAGTTAGCTGTTAAGGACGTCTGATCAGGCCAGAGAAATGAGGGATTACATGGGCAGGAATTACCATGCAAAAATTTTTAATTTCATATATAGCTAGTGTTATCCACAATTAAAACACTTTTGATTTGCATTAAGCGGTCTGGGTTCAGGGGCCAGCGTGCTGCATTTATTAGCGGGGTCATTCAGGTGTGGTGGTAACGCCTTTTTGGCTGGCATTGTTGTGAGATTTCGCCCAGGAGCGTCCTTGGAGAACACGCAGCTACTGTGTCTGCTTTCTGTCCTTGCGTTCCTCACTCAGGGGTTGGGAAGGAGCCTCAGAGGCCCAGGGCTGGCCCCCACCTGCCCGAATTCCTCAACGGTGGAAGGCGGACACACAACCCACAACGACTCACCTACCGAAAGTGAGCGAGGATGGGGCCACGCCACCAGGCGCCCTCTTCGATGGCAGCTGTGGGTCGTTGGTGACAAAGCCAGGGAGACACTCAGCTGTTTCTTTTGCTCAGCCATTGATTAAAAAAAAATCGCTTTTAGCACTGACATGTCCGTCGTCCCTGAATATCCTAAGCCGTTTCTCTTTACAAAATGCAAAGAAGCACGTTTTCAGTGTAGCAGCTGTAGTTAGGAGTTCACTTTTCAAAGGGTGTGTGTGTAAATAAGCTTCTCTCTGGTGTTCACCAACCTCTGGACTGATGCAGCCTGCCACTGTTTGCCAGGCTGGAGGGGCAGCGTGGGGCTGGAGGGCAGCCTGGGGATGGAGGGCATCGCTTTGGCCCCACATGGGGCCGCGTGAGAGATTTCTAAATGTCCTGACAGTGCAGTTTCCTTTGTCTAAAACAGGGCTAACCAGCTTGCCCATGCAGGCAGATGTTGGGAGAACAAAAAAGAACATTGACAGAGAGCGGCGTCTGCGTCTGTGTCTTACTGGGGAAACCAGCATTTCACAGCGCGGCTCTTTGCTTCTAAATTCGGGTTTCTGAATTGCCGGAGAAGCGCTGGCTGTTTCTGTGCATACACGTGTTGCGTTGTAGATTTGATTTTTAATACGGCAGATTTTGAGGGAATAAACTGTTTAAAGGTGCTTCCTTAGAGTGGAGCTTCTAACTGTGAGATGAGAGCCTAAACTCATTATTTGTATCTCTGGGTAAGTACCTATGACCATGACCATTCCTGGAATCTTAGTTTTGGAACCGAGTTAATCCTTTAGCCATTGGAGTACCGTTTGCTTCCTGTGGTAAGCTGTGCTGTGAGAAACCCATTGGATTTTCTCTTCGACTGCTCTGTGAAATGCGAACCTCCCCATTTATCCTTTACTCGGACCTTGGAAAGCTGCGGGTCTGTTTGAGGCACTAAGTTCACGATAGAAAGGGACCCTGTGAGCGGTCTAAAACGGGCTGTGGGAAGGCGAGCTCAGGTCCGTGCTGTAACTCTGGTCTTCTCTTGCAGTTCATTCAGTGCGTCATGAGTGTGTGAACCCGGAGGAAGCGGGGTGCGCCGCGCCGCCTTCCGGCTTCCGGCCAGAGCTTGCTCCTGCCCGCGCTCACGCCTGGCCCCCGTGACAGGCGGGAACCTGCACCGCTGCTGTGCTCACCGCTGCTGAAAAGCTGTTGTGTTTAGTTTTGATAATAAATTCTTTGGAACTTTACAAATAGAAGATCTGTTATACCATTTGGAACTTCCTGGAGCCATTATCAGTCACACCCTATTTTCCTGCTCGCTCTTTTATCTAACCTTATATATGCAACATGTTGAAGGCACGTTATATGTTTTTCATTGAGAGATTCTGAAAGTTATGAATTGGACGACACCTGTTACCTTTGCTCTCCTAGGCGGGCTTTCATATAGTGGCGACAGTATGCAGTACTCTGGTGTAAATGAATTAGCTCCACTTGAATGCAAAACATAAGTCATCCATGGAAAGGTTCACCTAGGGGAAACTGAGTCAGGCTTGAAGACTTCCAGATGTTTTGATGACTGTATGAATGGCAACGTGCGTGATTAGTCTTTGACTCTTTAAAGCCTATTTTGAGGAGTGAGCATTGAAGTGCGCCCCCACTTCCCAGTAGGGGTGCTGGTTCAAGTTCCAGCTACTCTGTCTGGTCCAGCTTTCTGCTAGTGCATCCTGGCTGGCGGGGGGAGGGGGGGGTACAGCAGGTGATGATGGTTCGAGTACTTGGGCCTCTGCTTCCCCGATGGAGCTCCTGGCTGCGGGCTTTGACTTGGCCCAGTCCTTGCTATTGAGAACATCTAGGGAATCAACCAGTGGATGGAAGATACCTCTCTCTCTCTCACACTCTTCAAGTAGATGAAAATAAAGGATAAACATTTCAAAAAGAATCCCTATTTGATTATTTCAGCAACATGCTGTCTGCACCAACTCCTCCTCCCTCATCATCCATTTAAACCTGTTAACTGTGCCTCTAAATCTTGTACATTAGAAACTGAAATATGTAAAAAAAAAAAAAAATGACAGAAGACTAAGGGAAAATAGGAAAATGTTAAGTACAGCTAATTTTTGCTAATGCAATTCTGGGTCTCTTGAATTTCCTTGTACATTTCAGTATTTTCCAAATTTATTATAATATATATGTGTTCCTTCTAAAATGCTAATTTTAAATAAGTAATATACCAATTTGGGTATGCCATGTTTCCATGCTCTAAAACAAACAAAAATACTGGAAGGAGTGATCTGGCTCCCACTGGGAGTCTGGATCATGAGTTTGTTTTCTTCCTACTCCTTGTTCGAATATTTTCTAACAAGCAGTATTACATTTATAATGGAAATTTTTATTTTTTTGTTTGAGAGACAAGCTCCCATCCACTAGTTCCCACTTGAAATGCTGGGGCTGGGCCTGGTTGAAACTGGGAGCCAGGACACAACCCGGGTGTCCCGTGGGGGTGGTGGGAACCCAGTTACTTGAGCCATCACTGCTGCCTGATGGAGTCCACCTGGGCAGGAGTAAGACTGAGGGACCCAGCGCAGGACTCGGTGTGAGACAGGGACATCGTGGCCGCGAGGCTCACGGCTGCTCTCCACCCCGCCCCAGCACCCACTGATTCTGTACTCACAGGTGTTCCAAGGAAGCTCTGGATTCTAATCCAGTTTGTGCCTCTTAACTTGATGTGGTCATTGTAGATGACCTTGGGCCTCAGTTCCCCCGTCATTGGAAAGAAGTTAAGGCTTACCTCCTGGGCCGTTCTAAACATGAAATATGTTGATTTAAAAAGGATCAACAATGTTTCTGTGTCTTACATTTAAAACTGGCTTGCTTTGCCTTTTTACTGCAATGTAGTTATACAGCAAAGTGAATTCACTCAAAGTGGATTGAGTTTATTTTCTCCTCCTGGCAGAGTGCTTTTTTAGGGCACAGTGCTTGAGTTAATGAATAAATGAGTTAGATGATTAGTTGCCAACCAATGAAAATTAAAATTTTTCCTAAGCATCTCTAGTCTCATTTCACTAATGTACATTTTAAAAATATTGCTATATACATGGATATTCTTTGATTTGATGTATATTTATGCAACCCTGACATTTACTTCAAGTAATTCTGGCCAGGTTACAAATCAGCACTGTGAATGTTGGATGCCCCGTAGTCAATCCAGCTTGCATCCCAGATACACTGCCTGAGGCCATGGGGCCTGGAGTGAGCCTGGACTGTCCAGTCAAGGGCCGGAGAGGATGCCCAGAGGACCGGGGCAGGGAGCTCCCCTTCAGGGTCCATCCCAACACCTGCTCTTTGGCTTAAACTCTCCAGGGTCCTCTGAGTAAATCAGTTTAAGGAAATGGGAATATCCCAAGTATAAGCAGTGAAGTAGAAGGCTTTGGCTGACCGAGGCTCCGGGCCACATGGGAACCGCCCTATTGCTCAGTAAATCCCAAGGATGCTCAGTCAGTCGTGGTTCTGATTCTGTGTTTGGGGAAGCGCTGAAGCACAAAACCATGCCCTGGAAACACCTCACCTTACCCTCCTCATGGCTGCTTCCAACAGCCAGGGGCTTCGGTCTTTGGGAAGTCCCTGCTGTTAGGTGGTTTCCTTTGCTTGACAAATTTGATGAAGTCCCCACTCTGCCTTTTTTTTTTTTTTTTTTTTTGAGATTTGCCTTGAAAAAGTTACAGAGAGACAGAGAGCTCTTCCATCCACTGGTTCACTCCCCAGATGACTGCAACAGCCAGGTTGGGCCAGGCGGAGCCAGGAGCCAAGAACCAGAAGCTTCTTCTGGGTTTCCCACTTGAGTGGCAGGGGCCCAAGCACTTGGGTCATCCTCTACTGCTTTCCCAGGCACTTTACCAGGGAGCTGGATAGGAAATGGAACAGCCGGGGTCCCTGTGGGATGCCAGCATCATAGGCGGTGTGGTTTAACTGTGCCACAGTGCCAGCCCCACCCCATTCCTTTAAGTGCAGTGTCTGTTAGCGAATCTCCCGTCACCTGTGTCTACTGTATGTGGTTCTGTGCTCACTGTGCGCTCCCACTGCAGCCTCACCCACATCTTTCAAACTGTTTCTTTGGTAAAGGCATCCAGGTGAACATGGGAAAGCTGTGAGCTCAAATGTGCATACTTCCCCTGCTTGGAGATCTAATTTCCATGAATCACACCAAAGCAGAATTTCATGTTGTTTGGTCTCATGCTTCAGGAGATGCATGGTTTACTTAACACGTTCACTTGCACGGGACCATGGCTCCCTGGGCCTGGTGCCACCAGGGGATAACGAATGTGGATCTGTACCCCAGGAGGCATTGAACGAAGCCCTCACTCCCATGGATCCACGCTGGAGCTGGGGCTGCGCTTAGCATGATGACCTCATCAAATTCCAGGTAGTATCTGGTCCGTGAGCTCAACCTTGCGCTGTCTCCCAGTGAACTCTGCTTTGGCTCAGTAGAGTGTGCTGCTCTTGCAGGGTTCATCTGAATGTATTATTCTCTGCCTAACACACTGCAAATAGAAGAAATGAAGCTGTATGCCATCCCCATAAGGCTTTGTTGTTTATTAACCTCTTAATAAATGGACAAACCCTTTGTCAGCGACTTCTGTTTTTCTCACATTAAAACAGGACCTTGCCAGCGCCGTGGCTCACTAGGCTAATCCTCCACCTTGCGGCGCCGGCACACCAGGTTCTAGTACTGGTTGCCCCTCTTCCAGGCCAGCTCTCTGCTGTGGCCCGGGAGTGCAGTGGAGGATGGCCCAAGTGCTTGGGCCCTGCACCCCATGGGAGACCAGGATAAGTACCTGGTTACTGCCATCGGATCAGCACGGTGCGCCGACCGCAGTGTGGTGGCCATTGGAGGGTGAACCAACGGCAAAGGAAGACCTTTCTCTCTGTCTCTCTCTCTCACTGTCCACTCTGCCTGTCAAAAACCAACAACAACAAAAAACAGGACCTTGACTTGTTTCCAGTGTAGAACAGGAGCTGAAGGCAGGGCACCTGCCAATGGCACAGCAAGGCTGCTTGGGAGAACGTGAAGAGGCCAGGGTAGAACCGGTGTTAGGCAGTGAACTCAAGCACCTAACTGAAGTCTTGACCAAGGCTCAGTGCTCTCTAGAATCCAGCACAGGCGAGCTACAAGACAGGGCCTAGGGAACTGATCACGGGGGTGAGGAAGTGTGTGTGAGGCGAGGCAAGTGGGGAAGTAAAGGAAACAGCCATCTGCCACCCAGTTGCGGAAACCACCCAACGAACGGCAGGACGCTTCACCGAAGGGTCGTATTTCCTGGTCATGGTCTGCCAGGACAGGGTGGGCCAGAAAAGAACCCCCTCGCCATACGCCCTGTAAAGTTTCTGAAAGAAACCCACTGGAGGAAAAACGCCTCGGAGGGAGTCGTGCATAAAATAACATAAATCTTTTATTGAAAGTCACTTTATTGATGTTACAATGCGAGTAACATAGAAAACCGTGGGATCTTACTAGCTTCACAAGTGAATACTAATAAAATTGTGCCAAAAACTTGAACCTCAAATTACAGTGGCCTTGAACAACAGTGAGATTTTGCTTGCCTACAACGTGAGAACGGTTTGTAACTTGACAGCTGTAAAACAAGTCACGCTTGCTCGGGAAAGCAGTCACCATGTGCATTTAAGTTGATGCTTGCCAAAACCCAGGGAGTTGTAAAGTAGCAGAAAAACCAAGTGCACAGTAGCAGAAAGAACATCAAAACAATGCACATCGAAGTATATACACAGGATGGCCTGGTCACGGAAGGTGAAACCACAGTGGCTTCCCCCGGATGTAGATGACATCACCCCTCGCAGATGAGAGACGCGGAGACACGGGTGCAGACCTACATGGGCTAACGTGTAGGCTGCTGTGTGTGGGTGGCACACTAGGTTTCGGAAAGAAGGTGGCGTTGGGGGTGCTCTTCGGGAGGGGCAGGTCTTCCAGCAAGTTAAAAAAGGAGCACATGCTGAGTGGTCCTGAATAAACCCTTTGCTAAGCACTTTTGCAGTTAGTGTAAAAAAAAGTTTCCCATACAAAACAAAAGTGTTGGGTGGGTTTTTTTTTTTTTTAACCCATTAAAAACACTGGTTGTAGACTCACAGTTTGATTTTGTGCTGGATTAGAAAAAAAAAGTGGGGTTTCTTACCAGGCAGTGATAACACATGTATAATTTAGCAGGAACTCAAGTATCATCACTAAGTGTACTACTCGAATCAGCTCTTTCCATGGTGTGGTTACCTGCTATAACTTAGCACCACTGTATTTAAAGATTTGGGGCTATTTGCATTATTTTGGAGTTTAACCATCAAAACACACATCAGAGCCTGAAACTTAAAAAATCAGGATGCTAAGCTCAAGTAAATGCCGCTTAGTTGTGTGTGTGTGTGTGTGTGTGTGTGTGTGTATTTCAAACAAGACAGGAAAGTATCCTTCAGAAATTCTTTGAAACTTTATTGATCATTTTGTATGTTTGCTATCTTAAGATGGCTTAGTCTCATTGTATGCCTTTTTGTAAAACAACAGAGCACACGTTTTGCCTGGTTCTGATTTCAAGAATAACTAGTAACATGAAATGATAATGTCCCGACCAAGACCCTGCAAGTCTTGAAACAACCCCCAGGAGGACAGGCCCGGCCCGTATGAACAGTGGGGTGGGCATGCACCCCAGGCAGGCGCGACCAGCCCCAGAGGGACTGGGCCATGACTATTTAGAGTCAACACTCTAACTGCAAGGTACCGGACCTGCCTTAGGCACGCAGCCCTGCTCCCCAGCATAGCCAAGTGGCCTCTTGGCTGTGGGCCTTGTGGGTGTCCCAGTCGTCTGCTCCCGAGCCCCGCTGAGCTGTCCCAGAGCTCACTGCTGCCTATCTTCTCCCCATCCCAGATCTCACACCCTGGGGACCCTCTCAGTGGCTTCCCAAGTTGCAAAATCCATGTCAACGCACCACTGTGAGAGGAGAAACGTGCCTCCCACCTCCACTCTGCACTCCGAGGGGCTGGCCTCTGTGACAGGGCAAGTTCCTACTCAGCGGAAGCTGTTAAAGGGGCTGGCAGTGGGGCTACTCTGGAAGCAGGAAGGTTCTGGAAGCATCCGTCAAATCCCATCGTGAGATGCGAACAATTTGTCAGTCTATAACCATCAAAAATACTCCCTACTAAACTGAGCCAGAAGACTTTGGGGGCTCTGACAAGACAATGAACAAGACGTGAACAGAAGTCTCGCGTCCGCAGGTGTGGGAGGAAGGCCCCACCTGGAATGACACGCACCTGCCCTGCATGGCACAGGCTGTGAGCAGGCGCCAGCAGCTCCCAGCAGGTGCGCTTCTACGGCCCGCAGCTCCCACTCAGCCATGAGCAGGCTGCTCTCCGGCTGGGAACCCTGGACGCTGCTTACATTAGTCCTTGGCTTTCCCCCGCGAGGAAAAACGTTGCTGCACCCCAGCTCAGACTAGTCTTACTCTGAAAACACCTCCAAGGAGGAAAAACAAGCAATGGAGCCCGAAAGGAAGCCCCTTGCATAGAATGTTTGCCTTGCATATACCTTCAGCTAGTACCGAGAGGACGAGAAGTCCCTCCGACCTCACACACTTAGGTGATGATTTCAGAGGAAAACACAGAAGTGAAGGGACGAAGGCAGTCAGGAGCATGAAAAGCAGACCCGAGGTGAAGGGAGGCAGAGCACTTCGCAGGAAGCTCGTCCAGCTCTCTGCCCACCCACCCGCCTGCCAGTCCCCCCAGGGCGCTACCCAGGTGGGCATCCAGCGCAGCCTCCTTCCTGTCACTTCTGAACTTTGTTTTCCCCTTCCCACCACTCTGCAAGTCACTCAATGCCTTCCAATAAATTCCCTTTCCTTTAGGTCAAGTACAATGGCCATTACTTTAGATAGAGATTTATTAGCATGATAAAACTGGGGAGGTGGTGTGTAGACAGAAGTACATGGCAACAAGAAATGGATGGATGAAATGCATAAGTGAACAGAAGTGAAGAGAACGGGCCTGGTGCCTCTAACCCACAGGTGTCTGTAAAAATCAAAGGACAAAATCCAGACAAAAGGTAACAGGTAAAGTAGCCTCAAGACATGGAAAGGTTACATCAAGCGAACACGCATGGATTGAACAGAAAACAATGAGCAGCACGATGCTGATACAGATACCAGACATAAACACTCCTTCCTGAAGCACAGGGAGCTTCTATCTTCCACCACTTCTTTAGAAACCCCGTCAATCTCACGGTCAGACGTCCTATGCAGGGCCGGCCTCATTTAACAATGGGATTTTAAAAGCTTTTTTAAAGCAAGCGAGAAAAGTGCAGACCTTGATAAAGCACCAAGATCAAACTAAAACCAAGTTTGGCATTTGAAGTCCACGTTATTAGAACAACCCTAAGGACAGGTTATTCCTCAGTGAGCGTCCGAGTTTGCCTGAAACACAGCAGCTACTAGCTGAAGCCCTCCCGTGCTGCCTGGGTGGGAGCTACGGCCTCTTTCTGTTCAGGCTGCAGGGGGGATGCCTCTTCCCACTTGGAGGAAGAGGGGCTGGGCCCAGGGGACAGTTAATCCGGCCAGTCCAGTCCCTAGGCCTGCCCTGGTGTCCACCCTCCTCTGCTAACCCAGAGACCTCAGTGTTTCCTGCGGCACATCTCAGGCAGCAGGGCTGTCAATCGGAAGGCTTACGTTCACAGTAAACCTTAGGAAGAGAGGGGAAAAGGCATACAATGAAACGTGGAAGCCAGCGTGCTGCTCGCCTCTGCCTAGGGATGACCCGACGGTGACTTGTGGCATGTAGACATCACTACTGAACGTTTCTTTCCAAAATGGATGTTTAAAAGGAAATTAAGCTGTGCTTGTAGTTAGTGCTATGGGTTCATTCTACCTACTTCAGTAGATAGAAGGTCATAAATATTTAGATGCAATGCTCTAGAAAAAAATCAACCATGAGTACACATGTAGCTACTTCCTGAAACCATCCACTGAAACTATACATTTGTCAAAGAATTCCACAAATGGCCCTAAGAAAGTTTAAGGGAGAGAAGATCGATATCCAGAATAGAACACTGAAGCTACTGTATTCCCCCAAATCATAATATCTGTAAATAAAAAAACCCACTTTTTACCCCATTCCATGTGAAGGTTATTATCAATGAGGATTATTACAAACTCTATACCTCCGGAGCAAACACATCTCCCAAAAGGCACATGATAATGATTTACATTTGAAAAATAATTTTATATTTAAGTCGTTGGGGTGAGGAAGGATAGATAATTAATAGATGGTTGATAGGTGATAGATAGATGGATATATAGAGAGAGATCTCTTGCTACTTAACTAGCCATTTGTGCATTCTTCCAAAGTGGGGTTTGTCTAACTGTAACTAGGAAGCATGTAAATACATGAGGCACCTTGCATTCATCTATAAACTCTTTTTATAGTCAAAATAAATCTTGTCACATGGCCTTTTACATACACAATACCTGAAGACATTCAGTGCACATTAAAGTGATCCTGGTCACTCGACTGGCTACATCTTTCTACCTGTCTGCCCTTCTGTCCTTGGCTTGAGCTGTGCGACAGTGTCGTCCAACACTCACCCAAAACTCAGTCTGATGGGCTGATTCGCTGTAGTACCCACAATCACATCCTTATCCGCCATGAAATGATGCTGCTTCACACTGTGCGATTCTGCGTGGCTAAAGGGCGCTCCAAACATTGCCAGACTCCGAGAAGAGCGGTCCATTACAGAAGACATAAATGCGCAGAGTAGAACACACTGCCCGCCCCGTCCCAGGACTCCCCACTGAGTGGCCATGGATTTTTGCCCCTGGACACTCCAGGGAGAGGGACTTTCTGACATCCCGTCTGTGGACCCCATTCCTCTCGAGAAAGAGCTGCGCAGGAGAGACGTGACAAGCACCCTCACGGCAGCCCATGTGGCTGGGCCCACCCACCGATGTCCAGCCTCAGCAGGGTCGCTTTCTTAGGAATAACGGTGACATTACAATAGCTATGGGACCCTCTTTTATAAATACAGTTTTAAATGTGCAAATCCCAAAAAAGCAGCAGAGCTTTCCCCTGCCAGGCGTCTGTGCAACATCTTGGGGCCTTTAGGTTTCACTGGACCCTTGTCTTCTTCGTGGTGCCTGGAAGTCAGTGCCGAACGACCTGTCAGGGCTCACATCCCAGTGGTGATAAAGATCCCAAAGAAGCAGTGGTGTAGCACTAGCTATTGTGAAAGCAGGTTGTTCGCTTCACACTTAAGGATGGCTAACAGAACCCTCAGGCCACGAAGGGCTGGCGCGCAGGCCAGGTGGCAGCCCGCTGGTCTCACGTGTCTTTGGTACGCTTGCGTCCTCTCCACAGGACACACAGCTGAGGGGCCCGGGGCCTCCACGGCGAGCACAGCCGAGGTGCCGTGGTGCTGAGTCACAGCCGCAGAGGCAGGCAGAGCGCGCCCGCAGAATACAGTGGACAGGCTGGCGAGGCCCAGCGGCCAATGGCGGCACCAGGACGCTCCCGCTGCGGCAGGACGCGGAGGCCAGAAGCGGGCTGGGGCGTCTGGTTCTCCCGTTCCGTGAATCCGCCTCCAGACCACGCACAGTTTAGGGGGACGTCGCACGTTCTGCACAAGTACCGATTATGGAGAGACACGCTGACCACGCTCGCTGCTGCATTTGCATCATCGACAGCATCTTTAAAGACCGGGGACGGATGACAGGATGTGACCGTGACTGATTTTAGGCATTTGGCAAGATACACTTGCGTGTAACAGCTGCTTTTTCGTTTTTTTTTTTTTTAATTTTTAAAAATGTTTACATATGTACAGTTGTCCTTGTGTGCTGATATAAATACGAGAAGTAAAAAAAAAAAGGTAAAAATACATGTTTAGAGTTAGCATAGGGGATGCTGGCCTCTGAAAGCACTCGAGTCCTGCAGAAAAGCCTGCTGCTGAGCCCTGCATGCTAGTTTTGACGATGGGAGGCTGTCTCCTGAAATGTGGAAAGCAATAAACAGAAGCTCCATGCATTCAGCGCTGCTGTGTACAATGAATGTCAGGTTCTGAATCCACTTCTGTCCCTTAGGAAACTTGCTACATTTGGGTCAAGTGAGTTAGTTTTATTGGTATTTCTACATAGATCTGTCATGCGGATTATGCAGTCACATACCGGCACCTTGGCTGCCCCACGTCATACTGGGGCATCTCAGTAGTTCTGGGCGTGGTTCAGTTCAATGCTATGGCAATGACAAAAAGAAACTGGTATCCAGATGTGAGATTTGGCTTCCTCTCCTGGTGGCTTCCCAGAGTGTCTCCGTATTGTCTGAAGAGCAATCGATGTGCAGTGATTCTGTGAGACTGAGTTTCTATAAAAGTTGGAGTAAACAGTTTCGATGTGTCACATGTAAACAGTTGATCTTAAATGGACGTCTCCCATAGCTGCACAACAGAGAAAAGCGAAATGACACATCATAAGGGCAGGAAGCAGAAGTTCTCAGATCGACAGAGATGAACAGGCTTGGTGCTTCCACCTATACAGGTGTGACTGGGTGAACACCCGTGCAGACTAACACATGGAAAACCCACACTCCGGCTGCCAGCGCTCCCTACCCTCCACACCTAGGTCTCAACCTTTGTAATGCCAATCGCTCTTTCTGTATCTATGTATGTATTTGAAAGGCAGAGTTAGAGAGGAGGAGAGGGAAGAGAGATGTTCTGCTGGTTCACTGCCTACATGGCTTCAACAGTCAGCACGGGAGGACCCAGGCTGAAGCCAGCAGTCAGGAGCCATCACCTACCACTTGGGAAACAAGAACTGGGGCTGGCGCTGTGGCACAGTAGGTAAAGCCGTTACTTGCAGTGCCAGCATCCCATGTGGGCACCAGTTTAAGTCCTGGCTGCTATACTTCCAATCCAGCTCCCTGCTAATGACCTGGGAAAGCAGTGGAAAATGGTCTAAGTGTTTGGGCCCCTGCCACCCTGGTGGGAGACCTGGAAGAAGCTCCTGGCTTTTGGCTTCAGTCTGGCCCAGCTATGGCCACTGCAGCCATCTGGGGAGTGAATCAATCTCAATCTCTCTCTCTCTCTCTCTCTCTCTCTCTCTCTCTCTCTGTTTCTGCATTGCTTTCTGCAACTCTGCCTTTCAAATAAATAAGTAAATTTTTTTAAAAAATGAAATCCTGTCACTTGTAGCAAAATGGGCAGAACCAGAGGACATCACGTTCAGTGAAATAAGTCAGACTCAGAAAGACAAACTTCGCATGTTCTCCCTCAAATGTGGAAGCTAAAACAAAATGCAGTCTGAACCTAAGAGATTGCGAGGGGTGGAGTGATGGAGGGAGTTGGAGTGAAGGAACACGTTCCCAGTGTTACACGGCACAGTCGGGTGACCACAGGTCTCACAGACCTAGGACATACGTTATGAACAAACAGCATGCCGGAGCCCCGGGTCTCCAGTCACAAAGTAAGGTCAAGACGGGGAAGTGCTGACCACCTGGACTTGAGCAACACATAGTGTACAAGCACTGAGCACCAACTGGAGCCCACAGACACGTAAAATTATCATTAATAAAAACTTCTGAAAAATCCCCCTGCCCAGGCCTCGCACCAGATAAACTACAGCAGAATCTCTCCCCTGGGGCCCGGGCTCAGAATATCTAAAAGCTCTTCAGAGGATTCCCATGTGCAACCAAGGCTGAGGGCCGCTGGCCACTGGGCGGTGTGACTGCGTCAGTACCACCACCGTTGGCTCAAACATCACCGCCCGGCGTCGGGGAGCAGGACACGTTCTCCCACCCCAGCACTAGCTCCCAGGAAACAGCTCTCCCCTGTGGCTGAGGGATCAGAGCAGGAGGAGCTTCTGGGCAGGACATCCACGCCCTCTCCTGGCTTCTGCAGCCACAGCTTCTACACTGGGCTGAACCCTACAATGTGCAGCAGTTGCCTTCACGGACAGAAAGCAGTTTTGGCATGATCAGAGGTGAGTGCGACTCATTTCTCTACAGAAGGAAGCCCAGTTAGAATGTAAAATAAAGTTTTAAAATGTCAAGCTGTTGAAATGTCTCCAGGCACCACGACTTGGGTTCATCGTTATACACGTGAACGAAGCCTACGGTGAGAGTGACTCAACTGAAGGAGTCAATTTCCATCCAAGTCCACTTTCACTGTACATACAGGGCACGCCTGGCACACGTAATGAGCTTCTGGGAGATAAAAAACAAACAAGAGACTAAATAAACAGATGTCTCAGTGTGGGTCCCCTGAACGTGTTCTCTCGGGTCTTTGCGGGGCCCTTGTACGCCATGTTGGCTCAACCCACACTGGGCTTCTCCCTACGTCTGTTCTGTGGCATTTTCATTAAAAAGACACCCGTCCTCTGCCCTTCTGGAAACCTTTGAGGGCCCCTTCCACGTGAGGACATCCATGAGCAGCTGACACCAGATGGCGGAGTGGAGTTCAACAGGGGCCTGCAGGGGGCTTGGGCAGCGATCTGGACTGATGCTCAGATAATGGTCTGAAGTGGCAGAGCTGAGACTTTGGCCTCAGATGGCAGAAGCATCATCACAGATGGTTATGAGGATTGAGTGTCAGCTTTCGGAAAGGAGAAGAACAAATGAATGACATTAGGAAAACCTGAAAGTCGTGACCGTCCGGGTGAGGAGAAGGGAGTGAGGACTTGTCAAGGCATTGCTTTGATGAGGAGGCACGACTGTGCCCAAGTCTGGGTGCCGCCTGGGATGGCTACATCCCACACTGAAGTCTCAGTTAGTTCAAGTCCCAGATCTGCTTCTGATTCCAGCTTCCTGCTAATGCACACGCAGGAAGGCAGCAGCTGATGGCCCAGGGACCTGGGTCCCTGCCACCTGCTACCAATGTGGGAGACCCAGCCTGGGTTCTGTGCTCCTGGCTTCTGCCTGGCCTAGCCTGAGCTATCGCAGGCACTGGGGAGTGCTTCCGCAGACGGAAGACCTCTCTCTCACTTTCATGCCCTCCCTTTCTCTGCCTTTCAAGTAAGTGAAAATAAATATTTTAAAATGAAAGAGCAAAACCCACAAAGGCTCTGACTATCTTGTGTGAGTGCCCACAGCCCGCAAGAACAGCGTAGGGACGGGAGCCGTCCTTTCTGCAGGATTCTGCCACTTGCTCACGTGACTGCTGCACAGCAGACAGGACGAATCAGGCCTTTCACAGAACCAGGCAGCAGCTGGACTTGCCCGTCACCTCACTCAGCCCCAGGAAGGAGTCATGGGGCAGCCATTTCTTCCGGGGAGCTGTCATTTTCATGGGCTCTAACATTTCCAATAACCCACACCTTGGCATGACAGCAGCTCAAAGAACACACCCAACTGATGAAGCAAAACAGCAGTGTGGACAGCTTAGCAGGGAGAACACACACACGTGCACACATGCACACATGCACGCACACACACACACGCACATGGGGGCTGTACTCAATTTCTTGATTTCAGTGTCACAACGCCCATGATGAACAACTCGGTGTTCACCAACAAGTCTTCTTAAGGCTAGACAGCTGAGCGCTGGGAATCAGGCTTCCTCCTTTTAACTCACTTCCCATATTAACACAAAGCTAATTTTTAAATTATAAACAAAGCATCACTGCTTTTAAAGACTTTTTGACTATAATGATCTAAACAGTTTTCCATTATTTGTTTTCTTACAGACTCTGGGTTGTTGGGGTTGAAATCTACATGATCCACGTTTACCCTGTACCCCACAATTCGGGTTTAGGATCAAGGAGATTCTGTAGCATCCTTCAAAAACCAAGAAGTCTGGGAACCCAGGACTCACTATCAGATGAATCTGCTGGGGCTTTTAAAGCTTTATTTACTTGTTTGTTTGTTTGCACCACTGTTTCTGAGAAGAGCCACATTACAATGCAATGACCATAGGAGAGCGTGCACAGCCCTAAAGGCAACGCTTCTTTGGTTGTATTTTGCACTTAAGCTTCTGAGGGCTGCTCTGCCTCTCTCAGCTCTACTCTGTCTCAAATTTCACATAATGGACGTTTTCCAGGAATGCTCAAAGACAGAGTGGTATCCTGATGAAAAATGTAAAAAGGCACTCAGTATTTAAATGGAGTTTCTGGGGAATCATATTTTGGTAAAAGTAGTCAACACCTCTGTATTTGTTTACAAACTTGGCTTTCTAGAGTAAGAAAGGTGGTTAAATTTGCCCCACCCACTGTCATATTCTTTCAACACTACAGATTTTTTGAGTCCTTTTTCCTTGAATCTAGATCCCACCCCGATCTTCAAGTTATTGATCTGACTTCCTCTTATGGGTTCCTGTTCCTAAAATCCTACTGCATGTTATTAGCCAGGGAAAGGCCTGGAGCAGAGAAGGGGCTTTCTCACTCAACCTCTGACATTCCCAGGTATATCAAAAACTGATAAAGCAGAGGCGTATTATTTTATCAATTCCACACTTTAAAATATCAGCTACAACAAACAGAAAATACACAGCAATGGAAAACATACACCAAATATCTCTAGAATATATCAATGCAGATTAAGCTAATTAGCAAATATAAATCTGAACCCCGAAGCTCCAAGAATCTTCTGGTTTCCAAATTAAATTTATCATTTTATCTTTTCTCAGACATGAACTCAGGACAGTGGATGAGCACAGGGAGCGCCTGCACCTACCCTGGCACTTTGTCGGTTTCACTTTCTTCTCCTCGTCTGGAAGCGGAGGCATTGGATAAGGGTATTTTCTGCTGGAGGCAATGGACCCAGTTGATGACGAAGGAGACTTGGCGGGAGATAAAGTCCTGAGGCGTTTAGAACATAGGAAATAAATATCACACGACTGCCTAATACCATTGCAACGTATCTGAAAAGTGGGTTCAAACCACTGACTTCTACTTTTATAAGGCCCTACTGCAAAGGCTTAACTACTGGGAAGCGTCTCTGTCATTCCCAATACTGGAAAGCTGGAAATTTAGCTTCCTAACTTCAGGATTCTCCACACTACAGTGAGAATTTTAGCTTCCTAATTTCATGACTACTATGGGTTGTTCAAATGTTACTGCAGGGAATCATACTTTTCATCTAGAAAGCTAATAATGAAGTTTTCTAGAGGACAGACAAAACGCTAACATGGAGAAGGGAAAAAGTTATTCTAAGAGCTCATAATGGTAAATTAAGTGTACAATATACTAATATTCCTCCTTATGATTACCACTTAACAAAATATGTTTCTACGTTCAATAATTCCAACTGTATCTTAAGAGTTTAAACATATCACAATGGATACATTTATTAGTTGCTAAGTCACACACCAGTTTACACAAAACTCATGCATTTAGAGGCCAGTGTGTTAGTTGTGAAGGAACGAAGGCAAATACTAGGGTTTTAATCATAAATTAGTAAACATGCAAGCAGTAAGGAGTGCAGAGTTCCAGCCAAACAAAGTCTGATGAGAACACACAGAAATGGTCTGATTAGTCGCTGTGACCAGCATTCCTGGCTGGCCGCTGGCGCACTGTGCTGTATCTGTTGGGTCTGGCACGTGTAGTGATAATGTTTGTGACTAAAGCGGGCTCACCAGAAAAGCCCATTCCTGCTGCTAACTTGTCTGCAGGAGTGAAAAATGTCCACTCATCACATATGAAGGGAAAGTCCATGTGTCACTGCATAGCTGTGCCATCCACAAATCACCACTACACAACCGTGACTCCTTCACTCCTGTCCCAGGGTGGTGCTGACCCATGTAACTGGCCACACTACCACACAGTAGCCTCAGGACTTGTTCCTGCAGGGTGCACCACACCTGCTGTGAATGCTTAAACCTGGGCACCTTGGTGGTGGGGACAGCACTGGGCAGGACAAGATATTCGGCTTCAAAGAATTCAACAGAGTAAAGATATAATTTTCCTCTTTTTAAAATAATACTATGATCTTTAGGAAACAAATTCAGTGTCTAAAAAATGAAGGCAACCTTTGGCATTTAGATATTTAAATGGATCGTTTTTAAAATGAGGGATACTAACCTGGGTTCAGCTTTTAAATTTATTTATGACTGATAAGATATTCAAGTTCATGAAAGCTAGCCAGGCACATAAATAACTCAATCTTGTTTCCTTGGCAGGATCATACCAAGGAAACACAGCAGCATCTGTGTCCACAGAATGAACTATTGGCTTCTAGTTGAAAGGTCACCATGGCCTGAACGTGCCCATGGAGAAGGACAAGGACAAGTGCAAGTACAAAGCCACTTCAAGGAGGGGTGCTGGGAGTCCAGTCTGCCCCTCACATACTTCTCACGGGCAGAGCCAGCAAACTGTGACAACTCTTGTCACATGCTGTCACAGAGGCCCAGAGAAATCACACACGTTCCACTTTGCACACTGAGAGCCAGCTGACACTTCGGACCCTGATGGGGGGAAGGGAAGCCGGTTTTAGTGGGGGGACGGGCAGCAGGTCCTGGAGGCCAGCTGGGGTGGAACAGCACAAAGGTGGTTATCTTGGCAGATGGGCATCGCCAGAGCAGATGTCAGAAGAGTAGAGAACAGGGCGGGGATATTAGGGAAAACAAACTCAAAATTTCTCACAAACAGCCGAAGGAGATACTTTCTCAAAACCTCCTCTGGGCTCTCTCCTGACTCGGGCTACCTGCTTGGAAGTTCCAATTCATTATCCTTGCTACGTTCTTAAAAGCCACAATGGCTACGGTGGGTGCCACACTACAACGGCACCATAACGCTACGTGCATATGCCGCTGGCGGGGGTGCATCCTGGGCCTATGTCAGACTTCTCTGCATATATGCACATTTTGCATGTAGGTCAGGAAGGCCCATCTCGGTCCACCTGTGCTCCCTCTTCCCCGGGACAGGCTAAAGCAGGTCAGTCATGGGAGAGGGACAGAAGTCGTTTCACAGCAGCCTGATGTGGAAGGATCTATTAGGTGTCCTGGCACAGGATGTAAGTGTGCAGTAGTCACCAGGTACAGTGAAATGGGAGTCGGATGGCGCCAGGCATGTATTCCGACACTTTCCAGCTGGGCGACCCTGAGTTATTTTTGTGCCTCTGTCCCCTCCATTATGGAAAGGAAATGAGAATGCCTACACCTTACGGTGTAATATCCTGTAGGCACTCGGTGAGTGGTATCATGATCACTACATTTTCTGTAAGGTCATGGCAGTGCACTGAAAGCCTGCCGAGGAGGTGAGCACTCACCTGGCTAATCCCCCAGAGTACGGAGCTTGCAAGGCACCGTCCCCAGAGACCTGCAAAGGCCCTGACTGGGGGATGAGGCTCCTGCTCTGAGCCCCTTGCTGCTTCCTGAGGACCAGAGTACAAGCTCACGACTGTCACTTCAGAGCTGGGAAGGGGCACAGAGACACTCCGTGTCTTTAGGCATCTTCCTTGCTCTTGGCAGTCCCATGGGTTTCATGTTTTAAACTGGACCTGTGTGCTGCCATCACAAGCTCTCCATTACATTTCCACAAGAAGGTCACTAACGCACGCCCCGTGGGTGATTAGTAAGGTGACTTCTGCCCTCGCTGGTGGTTTTGGCAGAAGTAATCCTGAATGCCCTGGCAGCCGATGAAGCAGATCTGAGCACGAGCATGGGGCTGGCAAAGCATGAGCAAAGGTGTGGACTCGCTCTGCGCTCCCTGCGTGAGGTCCAGCTGGGACAGAGAGCACACAAGATTCACTCAGAATCGCTGCGTCCACAGCTCCGGGCCATTCCAGCTAGTCACCACCGCCACAGAAATTCTGTGTCGGTTTTCCGGTCTTCCCAGCATACCTCTTGCTAATCTACAAAATGACAATTAAATTATAACTGCCCATTGAACTTGGTCTAGCCTTTAAACAAGAATATGCGTTTTTACAATTAATTCTAAGTGGGACTAGCTACAGGAGGAACCAATATCGACTGAAAGAGGAGCTAGAGGGATCCTCTATTATCACCCTTGCAGCTCTGCGCGTGCAACCGGGGGTGCCAAAGCAGTTCCCCATCCACATGTGTGTGGTCAGGCAGCTTCTGGGCAGACCTGCCGGCTGGTCTGAAGAAAGGTGAACTCTTCTCTGGGAGCCACATCAGCCACTCAGCTCACCCAGGGGAGGTGACGCAACTCTTCCGGGGTACCATTCACAAATTATGGCCGCAAAAGTGCTGAGTTTGCTTAGGAGAAAGAGACCTAACCCAAGGAGGATCAAAGTCATTTTGTTTTGGTGCCATGGCCATTACAAACTACAATCTGCCCACAAGCCTGAGGAGGATAGGAAGGAGAAATAGGACTGCAGGTGAGCCAAGATTCCAAACAACATTCAGAAAATCATCTTACCTGTCTTCCTGACGTTGGCCATCTTGGGAGCTACAGGTGAGGGTGCGATGTTTGAATGTGAGTGTATGTGCATGAGGTTCAGTGTGGGGAAGTGTGGGACAAGCAGAGGGGCAGGGCAGGAGGGGTGATCGGGAAGAAAAGCAGCATACATTTTTGTGAGCAGGCAGGAGTTACGCTTTCCTTGGGGTATGTGTCAATGTTATGGATCAAATTAAATGCAGGTAGGTCTAATCATTTTCTCAAACTATACACGACTAAACTAAATGGTACACTGGAAGAGAAAGTCCACCTTGTATGGGTGTGAGGGTTAAATGTGTGTGTGTGTGTGTGCACCTACTGAGTCCATATTTCTCCTTTACATTAGTTGTCCACCAAGGAGTCAGGTAGAAAGTGGGCAGTGACTTCTAGGAAATCACAATCACTTTGATATTATAAAGAATGAAAAAAGAGGCGTGCTTTGACATTCTCTCTCACATTTCCTGTTTCACAGCACTGCAGCGAATTAAGTAAGTCAGAGTGTTTCTAAACTCTTTTCTTTTGTGAGTCAAAAATATGCTGTCTACCAGCTTCCTGTTCTGTCTGAAGCATCAGACAACATTTTAATTCAATTTTCCTGGATGCTTTGTGAAGCGTCTGCAAACACTCCTCCCAGCACAGCCCCTCTCGGGTGGCCAGCAGCTGTACTCAATCTAAACGGATTCCACATCTGCTCAGGTATCAGCAGTATCTCAGTAATCTTCCAGCTGGATCAAATCGGTTTCTACTCCAAGTGAACTTCCACTACACTCCATCTCATTGCTTGTCATATTTGCCTTGAGTTTTCATATGCACTGTGCACTCTTAGGCAGTAAGTAGGCAAAATGCATAATGATTTTGAAAGTTACACTGCTCAGGTTAATTGTGTTTCTTTATTAGTGGAAAGTATGTGTCATGCCTGTAGAACACTATATAGCATAAAATGAAGAGGAAGCTACTACGAAGCTGAAGATGGTGACAGGGACATGCACTAGATGGCAACCCTTTCAAATGGCTTCATTGGAAACATTCAGAAAAGCACTAGACTTGCTCATGAAGCCAAAAACAGAGATCAAAAGGCAGCAAATAAACAAGGACCCTTTTCCACCTGTAGGAACTTGTATTGAGAGATACAAGCTAGAGAGCCAGTCACACTACAGTATTTGTATGTGCTGGGAGAGTTTGAAAAAGACATAAAATTAATTTGTGAAATACCTAAAGTATGGTCCTTCAGTGTTTTTATTCACATCTTCTACCCACTTAGCTACATTATAGTCTCTTTGAACCATGGGTTTAAATACCTGCAGAAAGCAATGGAAGGAACAAAGAAAGCAGAACAAGAGAGAAAAATCTGAAAATACACAGCACAAGCTTAGCAAGGATGTCTACACCCTCCAAATGCAAGTGACTATGGCAAATAAACCAGGATGGATGTTGGATGACTGTGAGGCAGTCTATACGATGACACGAGAATAATCTCACCTACAACAAGGCTCAAGGCATTCTAGAATGCGGTCAACATATCTGGGAATGCCTCTTCTGGGGGCTTCCCAAAGGGAACCGGGAGATCACTTTCAGTGATGGTACAGTCAACAGTTCTATGTACCCACCTCCAGAGGGGCTCTTTCCAGGCCACCTCTCATTTGGTTCCTGGGTTTTCAAATGATAATTGGTGCTTTTTGAAAATGTGCAGGTGGCTGTGACTCCAACCTGGCATTTGGGCACAGAACAGCCCAGGAACAATTAAAAGAAGCAAGGTTCTCCTGCCAACACATGAAGGCTTTCACAGGGCAACTGTCTCACTCCCCTGTGGTGGATCCCAAGTGGAGGTAATAGAAGGTTTGTTCCAGCTGGTCCTGTGAGGGGCAGAAAGGGTCCCCTCTTCTGACCCTGGAGCCCCAGTGTGCAGGCAGTGTGGTCCAAAGGGGCTCCTATGACCTTGAAGCTGTGTTTAGTAATTTAGTTGTGGCTGCCACACTCCTTCCTCCTGCTCCTACTCCACACTAACAGGTTTGTGTTTCCACTGTGAAAGGGCCCTCGGAAGCCACCTTTAAGTGTCTGACCATGGATTGTGTGAGTGACTGCCACAGGACAGCAGGGGCCTCAATCAGCCCTTCCTGATGGGCCTGGCACCCCCGGAGCGATTATTGTGCAAACTTTAAAGGGAACCAAGTGAGGTGCACAATGTTGCTGCAGTTTTCCCTCAGAGTCTCCTCTGATTTCTAACATGGGAGCCAAGCAAAATCACATCCTCTTGGAATTTGCCCTTTTAAATAATACAGATTTAATATCTGTAAATTCAGTATTGCAAGGATTTGGAGGTTTTTTTAATTTTTCCATTTCAAAAAGTAACTTCTAGAGACAGAGACAATCAGGCCCTATTTAACCATTTAGAAATAAGCAAGGAGAAACTATAATATACACTGGTTTTGGTTAAAGTTTGCGTCTTTCCCCATATTTAGTTTTTGAGCTGTTTGTAAGTATATTGCAGTCAAGGCTACATTATCCACAGCTGTATATTTAAAATCAGGTTGTCTTCCACAGCCCTTTCCCTCCTGTTTAGCCATAAAGTTATTGTGCAAAACATCATCGTGCATGCAACCCCTCTGAAAATAACGGCTCAGATGGGTTCTTTGCGTGGAAGACCATTTTTGCCAAGACAATGTCTCCTGGCTTACAAACAGCTCTTCTAGTTTTGCCTTTAGCCACAATCATTGCCAACTTGCACTTTTCACAGAGATAGCCAATTACAACTTGCATAAAGATTTCCACTGAGACTCTGAACAAAAAAAAAAAAAAAAAGAAACCAAAAAGTCGAAAAGCAAATGCAGCCACAGATGAAGGCTAGTGAAGGCTCCGGCCTGGGGAGAACCGTGGGAAGCCCATGCAGCTGTCATCAGGTGAGACACAGCCACGCCGCAAACAGAGGCAGACGGCCACTCCAGGAGGAGACTGCTGCTCCTTTCCCTGGTCATCTCCGAAACTCAAGGACTGGTGCCATGGCTGCTCCGTGCAGGCTACGACCACATGGCTTGACCTGCATCGCAGAGCCTCTTCCGCCATCTCAGGGAGCACGGCTGAATGCTGTGACTCGGAGAACTCTCCACGGCTGCTCCTGCTGGGCAGATGCCCAGCAGAGTGTCTTCACAGTGGGCTCCTGACATCTCTAGGGTGGGGTGGCTGGGGTCATGGCATTTTATCAAACTGCAGTCAACCTGCCTAAGTGGCTTGACTTGGCTCGTAGCGCAACATGCAAATAAAAAAAAAATGCATTACATGGCGTAGGAGAGCTCTCAGTGTTCTCCAGGATGGAGAGGCAGAGGAGAATTAGCCAGTGCCGGCTGGACCAGGAGCACCTCCGAGCAGACACGGGAGCTCAGTCAAAGATCAAATGACCCTGTTCTCAGACAAGGGAGGGACTTGGAAGGAGATTAAGCGGCAGCCCAGAATGAAGGGGCAGGTGGAGACTGACCTGTGATCCAGACTCCCTGTCTGGGGGCTGTCAGAGCCCCCTGGGCTTATGCCTTGGGATGGGACTGTCTGGGCGAGGGAGTGCCCAGGCTCAGGTGCTTGGGGCTCCCTCCTGTAAAAACACAATATATAACACAAAGTCTAAGCCAAAAAAGTTTTTTACATCATGTACAACAGTGAGGAAGATGCAAAGCTTTGAGTGGAGAACAGTACAATCAACAAGGACGTTTTATTCTGTTAATCAGCAGAGCGTGCATTCGTGCTGCATGTTTCACTCGTGTCCCAGTTTTTGTCCCATCCTTTGGGATGATGAGATTCTAAAGGGAATGCCGAAATTTCAGACCTGAAAGACTTCTTATCTATAAACTAACAGAATCAGGGTAGGTTTGTGGTCAGTCTGCTGCTCTCAAAGTCGCACAAAATGGTATAAGCATATCAGAAGCAAATGGGATCACTTAAATGGGGAACGTAGAAAAAAAAAAAGGGCCAACATAATTCTTGATATGCTGTGCATCGGGGCGCTTGCAAGAGAACAAGCGTACATGGGAAAGTGTATGTGCTGAGAGAGGAGAGGCCGTTCCCGTACGAGCAGGTGCGTGAGGATGGTGACCAGCTTCACTGCACTAACACGAGTCAGGCAACCCATAAATCAAAGGGAACCTCTCACGGTCTCCCTAAAAGGACCCTGGTATGACGTCTTGTTAAACACTACAACTTAGTGATCTCGCAGACTGGATTTATCAATGGCTATCTGTTGCATTGTAATTTTCATCTCCTGGTGTGAGTACAAATTTCACAAAGAATTTTTAAAAATACCTAAGTGAATGCCCTAGAAAATACTGTATAAATATTGTTAATATATAAACCAAATATTCTTAGGAATATATGCCTAAACTCATAGATTTAACATATAATTGAATTTTTTGACTTAGTAGTTTTCAAAGCCTTGTTATAGGAAATATTGTTAGAACACTAAACTGTACACAAGGGAAGATCTGAAGAATGTCTTACAGTTTTATCCCTACTTTTAGGAGACAGGCTAAGGAGACTGGACCAGGTGACTTCATGCAAAACAAACTAAGTCACATTCCAAGAAGAGTTTATCAACAATGAGCCTTAAAGCATCTCGAGATAAACTCTCCAGATTAGTTCCTTGGGATGGAGTTCTAGGATGCCATTCTAGACCATGCAGTGCTATCATCTGAATCTATACGTTCTATGGGGAGGTATCCTCGGGGAACTTGGAAGAGACATTTACAACACAATACCATTCAGGTGGACAGTCCAAATTTCAGGGCTACGTTATTATTCCTGGACTGAAAAGGGCAGGATATATGATGGAAAAGCTAACGTAAGCTTCTGACAAGTTAACCAACAACGCCTGCTATTCAGACTGCTTAAGTATTAAGGCATGAAGAAGCCACAGAGATCCTGGGAATAATAACTACCACTACAGGCAGGAACAGGTGATTACATTTAAGTAGGATTAAAAAAATAGTGGGTGATTAAAACCAGACGGCAGGGTCAGTCCAGAAGGGTTCCCAGGGTGTGTTTCATTCCGTGCAGGGAAGAATAGGTTCGAGGAAGCTTTGTTTCGCTTGTGCTTGCATTGTGGAGAAACAAACAAAGTGTGTGGTGTTTACTTCATCATAACAAGACTTTAAGTATAACTTCCGGTCCCACTCCCTCTAAACACAAAATCATTGTGGCTATCATTTAAGAAAAGACAACGTTGCCTGTAGTGACAATGATTCCGTTAAAGTGCAAGTTTAGGTGGATGCCCTTTTAAATGTCCTTGGAAGGGAGATTTAAAAGGGAGCCTGATTCCACTAGTCTGAGAGAATGCTTAGATGGCAGCCATGAAGACCTGGGGTGGCGGTTTCAGATCGTGAGCAGTCAGTCCCATGCTCTGGTGCGTGGGAAGCTCTCCCTGACGCTTCCAGGCTGTGTGGGTACCGGGGAGCGGGAGGGTGACCCTTTGAGATGGCTGGACCCCCAGGTGATGAGAAGAAAGGAATGTTATCAAAATTCCCTTCAAACGGAACCAAGACACCACAATGGCAGGTGACTGGAGCAAAACCCCACAGCGAGGGTGAGACCCCGCTGTCAGTGAATATTGGTATGGGCACAGTTGCGGAGATGCCTATGTAAAAGAGAAAAGCCATGGTTAATTCTTAAAGGGCATAAAAGAAATCGAAAAGACAAAACCAAGACCAAAGGCATGGTTTACAGTTCTTTGTCTGGTTAATTAACATCTGACACTAAGTGCACAGAACCTTGGAGGGCCCTTTTCCAGAGAGGCTGGGACTTACTCAGTTGAGTTAGATCGAGGTCTAAATCTTTTGCCTCTGATTTTCTTTCTGTTGCCTCCCAGGTTACCTGAAAAAGATGGTTCATAACTAGATTTCCACATGAATAAATAATTGTCCTGGGTCCAATTATATGGTGTTTTAAGTGGATATAATGCACAACCAGCCCAAAATGGCACTTTACCCAATCCTATCATTTCCCACCCAAGGAAAAAAAAAACAAAAAAACTGAAATCTCATCTAAATATTCTCTTCGTAGAAGAGTTTCTTCTCTTTGGAGAAGAGTTTACAGGAGAGACCAGGTCTTCATTACAAGGGACTACGGAATGCAGAATTTGAATGTGTGGACAAAGGGTTTCAGAATGCTGCCTGATACCTTGCCAAGAGTTACTTCGAGGTCGTCCATTTTCACAGATGTCTGAAATATGTTTTGTGTCTGGAATCCTTTCACTCCATGAGTGAGAGAGCCCATTGGACCTGAAATTGAAAATATTTGTATGTTGTTCCAAAAGGTAAGCAAATGTTCTGAAATCAGTAAGCAAAAGTTGTATTCATTACTGTGCATTGAATAAAACACATCGAGAAAGAAAACAGTCTGAAATGAAAGAATGAAGAGAACATGAAAGTCTTCATGAAGAAGGCAGAATTACACAACATTCAATTTAAGAAAAGTCAAGTACAATGGAACCCCATTACAACAGTCTACAAATGAAAAGCTTCAGGCCACTGTGCAAGCCAATTCACACTCCCCAGGACACAGCAATTACAAATAGCAAATGCACCATACATTTTGGTTACATCAACCACAACAGCAGTTATAATGGGGTCCCACCATAGATGTTTCTTAATTGTAAAGCAATGATTTCCATTCCAATATTATGAGAACATGGACTTCCAAGAGATTACATGAAGATTTTGATCAACTGAAGCTAAGTGACCTTTATTAAAGTAATATTTGGTTTTCTGAAACAACAAAATCTTCTGAGGATTGGCATTTTGATCCACAAATATGGTCCAAAAAAGGACAGGAGGTGTTGATTAGCTGTCCAATAACTGAACTCACGTCTGTCATGGAAGGTCTCTCACAAAGCCCATGTGCCGTTAAGCCCTTCTGCTATTCGGGTCCTGCCATCTTTATATGAATCATCTATAAGAAGCAAAACATACACACCTACCTTGTACTACAGAGGCAAATCCAAACTACACATACTAAGGGGAAGTCTACTTACAAATATCAAAAGTATATTTTAACTGCTTAAAAATTACAACCCACTGAGTGTTTTCCTATAATCTGAGAATTATTCAACTGGATAATTTGAACTTTTCTTTAAGGTACTTTAGAAGATGACAGTAAAACATCTTTTCCACATTGCTAATTGCTAGTAATGTTTATTTTTAAAGATACTGTACAGATGAGTGAAAATATGGAACTCAGCACAATTACTACATGTTAATTCTCCAGGCTGAAACTTTTTGACATCATTTGCTACCCATAGAATGATTTCTATTTTGAACAAAAGGACTACAGAAATACTGCTGGAAACCACTGATTTTTCTACTTTTTAACTATGTCATTTAATATCTAATATTTGACCAAGAAAATATTTGTATCATGAGAGATTGCAAATAGATCACAAGTCATCTTCTCTTAACCAGCAAGCCTGCAATAGTTAAAAGTACACTGTTTTAAAAAACATTGTTCTCTAAAACTGTACTCCTTGACTCCAAACTATTAGTTCTACACTTGCTTTAAGGTATATTATTCAAGTGGAAATGATTTTCCATGTTTCACAAAGTTCTGCGTAAAGCAGATTCCCAGATTTCACTAAATCCTCCTCTCCTCCTCCCAGGTCACTGTTTATAAAGACTGAGTGCCATGGCAGAATTTTCACGGAGGGTTCACTTGATCAGAACTCTCAAAGAGATCATGTGTCCTCTCAATAGACTAGCAATTTTCCTTTCACTGTACAAGGTATCTAACGTGCTGAAAATCAGGTGTGGGGTTTCTATCTAAAACTTCTTCCTATCTATTACACCTGTATTGGCATCTTTAAAGAAATTCTTCACAAGAATATTTTAGCTTCCTTTACTGTGAATAGAAGCCTTTGTCCCTGAAACATTACAATTGTTTATTTCCTCTACCCATTTCTTTTATTGATTATAAAGCATGCAGGATTTCAAATGGCATCAGACACCTTCAAATGCTAGAACAAGAATACATCATCACTCTTTGGGGCATATAAACAGTATGTTCATCCCAGTTGCACTATTATAAAACTCAGGCAAATACTAAGCATACTTAAATTAATTTGTCAACTAAAATATAGGTTATAAAGTCTATAAATAATCATCCCATTAAAAAGGCAAAAATCATAATATTCAAATACACGATTCACAGAAAAGCAATCTTAGTTTCACAGCAAGCTTAGTTTTGATATATATATAAAATTAAAAATATTCAATGCAGCACTTAATATTACCAATTTATGTTAACAACCACTTTTATTGAAGCATGACAGTAACCTTTTTCTTTGACTACCAAACATGACATAAAGCTCACCATTTAAAATATTATTAAATATTTTATACAGTTTCTTAAGCCATATAAAAGCAAGACTGAAAAACCCTGAGGTTTCTACATCGATTTAGGGTGACTGATTGATTGTTTCCATTTTGTGGCCTGATTTGTTTAACAAGTGGTTCTGAGCATATGGCATTTTGCAGTAGAGTAATCAAAGAACAAAGGATACCAGTTCTTAACATTCAAGAAAGAAGAAGAAGTAATCAAACCTGCTGCAAAATAATGAAATGTTCTGACTAATGGAATAATGTGTGATGGAACAGGTAGAAATCTGAAAATGCGACAGAAAAGCAGACCTCTTCTTAGAACTAGATGCTGAGTTTGTGCTGACTCCGGGAGGAATGTCGCTATAAAAAGAGTCACCATCTCCAGGCTTTTTTACATAATCTCCCTGGGGTAACTGTCTAAGGCATAATAAACATTTCAGAGTCAGAAAACAAGACACACACATGAACACAGACATATACAAATATTATTTCAGGAAAAAGAGAGGTCGGGATAATGATCTACATGAATCAAATCTATAACAACACATGACATTATTAATAAATGTGACAAGTTAAAGTCATTCTATCTGTAGAGATCAGAACTGCAATCACTGACGTCTTTTTAGTCTGGATGAGAGAAGTCTTTGTCGGGGGAAGATATGGAAAGATGAGCTTTTTCACTGCATCTTCATCATACTTAAAGACATGTTAACTGCAGTTTTGCCCTTTATTTAAAAAAAATTGCTATTGCAGGAGATGTGTGAGGACAGGTAAGACCTTGCCCAAAGCACCCTTGTTTTCTCACGGTGGTCAATAAAATACTCATGATTTTCCAACACCATACGGTGTGACCTTGATTGGTCTTATAAGATCTGGTTGATTTGTATGCTATCCTACATTTTAATCAAATAATTCCATATCAGAGTCTGGTGTTCCATTTTGAGGTTCCCTGCTTATTTAACAGAAATACAAGAATCAAAAAGGCAATTTTATAAATGTATGTGAGGGAAGATAATTTAGCAAGAGGGTGGAAAGGTGGAAAAAAATAACAATTTTTGTGGAGACTGCGTAAGGATCTTGACAGGTGGACGGCAGGTGACCTCACTTCTCTGACTCCACTGTAGTGGCAGTGGGCATTGTTACCGACTCCCTCATCTAATTGGAACAAATGTTTATGATTTCTCCCAGAGGAATCATGTAGAAACTTTTAGAGAGGGCTCCACCCCCACCCTCTTCAGCCCTTGGGCAGTGGCTAATTTGATCACGTGCCAATGCGTGGTCCGCAAACATCAACTGCATCTAAAGTTGGATTCAGTTCCATTCAGCGCTCTTGTTGAGGGGCCACAGACTAGGGCTGGACTGAGAATCCTAAACAGAGCCCAAACTTCCTGACTCCTTTCCCTCTCCGATTTCTCCTTAGTTACCAGGATAATCGTGTTAGTTGCTGATGCTAAATTTTTTCCCAAAAATGACACTTTTATGTATTTTCTTTCTTATATTTAGTCCTTATTGTAAATGCTTAAAATAATTGGCCATTTGTTCTGAGTGACTGAATATCTTCTCATGCTATTCCAAAGCTATGTATTCCTACGTCTCTCCATCTCTGAAGATTTCCAATGGATATGAAGCACATATTTGAATTTGTGATATTTAATCTACTTCCCCTGCAATTTAACTAAAGAAAGTAGAATCTCTCTGTCTTGATGGATGAGACTAATTCTACTTGTAATTCTTTGATACAGATTGTTCCAAAATATGTTTTTAATTCTGTAGGTGACTTCAGTTCACAATAGTTATCCTTTCTTTTTCCCAGCATCATATGAAACATTAATTTTAAAGGAAAATAATACCAACCATGTATTTACAGTGTTAACATGCAACATATGATACTGTCTTCTGGTGCAGATCTCTGATCTCTGGAATCTTATTTCCTGTTGTATTTTGTATCAGTAAAATACTCCATCCATGCTTGAGGAAAAAGTTCCCAATAAAATCAGAGTTCTATATTTTGCCTTGAAGAGCAAACTTGCTTTTAATATCAGATTAATATTTATAAAATAATACCACAGAATGTCCCATCAACATTACTTTTCCAAAAATGATCTTTAGGGTTAACAAATACTTTTTGTTGCTATTACCATTAACAGTGGTCTTTATAAGTCTCTCCAAATTCACATGAAATAAAGACAAGCTATTACACGAGAGCTCTGAACTACATTTCATCTTTCCCTTATCCTATCCCTAACTGACATCCTCTTAACATGGTTCAGTAATGCAGGCAATTGCCTGGCATGTAGCAAGGTTCACTAAGCTCATTCTGCAGGTGGAAATGGGCTGCCTCTCATACGGATGGGGTCCGGACTTGCTCTGCTTTTTTACTGAGCATGTTTTTACCAAGATTTCAATGGAGTTTCCCTTCAATCCCATAGTCATACTTAACACAGGGCACAAATATCCCCAGTGCTAACCACGTAATTGAGGGTTTCTGTCAAGGAGCTGGAGGGGAATTTTGCATCATTGCGCATCTGGGATACCACCTCATTTTTGTCACCCTGGGCAGTTCAGATTCCTATTTATCTGCAATGCAAAGTCTCCAACACACAGAAATTCCTCCTTTGTATTGCCTTTAAAACACTAAAAGAAATGCACGTAACTTTGCACAGTAAATGTCTATGATAGAAAAATAAATGTCGTTAAGGCTCTTAAGGATAACATCTAATGGCTGTCACTGTCTAGATTTACCCTTCACACAACGCTCATTACATACTATAGCTAAGCTACTGCTTCTCCCATTAGTGAGGATACAGAACATCAGCTCCTTGTGATCTGTAAGGTAGCCCCTCATCTGTGATGCAAGATCTTAAAGGACCACCTAGACGACCCCTTCAGAAGCTTTTAACTGAACTTCTTTACTTCTTTTCCAAGTCCTCGATTATCTTTATGGTTTTCTTCCTAAATGTTGAGTGTTTTCCATGTCTCCTCAGATTATGAAATGTGAAGGTGATTGCCATGCTAGGTGGCCTGACCAGGACTAAGTTTTATAATGAGAAAATTACTTTATATGTCTCATATTATATGCAGATATTTTAGACCTGTGCATGATTTTTATTAAAATCATCAAAATAAAATTAATGCTTATGTAACCACGTATTTTCTCCTCAAAAAGGATCCCTTCCCACATTACTGACAGGTTTCTTCCCTATCAGTCCTCGGCATTTCACTCTGATCTGCACTGATGCATTGAGGCTGCTTCCCAGGCTCTAAGATAAGGATCAACCCAGGTCAACTTAATGACTATAGCCAAATACAATGATTTCTCCTCAGGTCTAGGATGGCTGTGTTTATTGGTTATTTGTTCTTTTCTTTCTTCAGAAGACAAAGTCAATCCAACTTTTGACATTTTCCTAATTATAAATCATCTAATTATTGTGTGAAATTTGAACATTAAGTAAGACTGTCTCCTGGATCACCCCAAAAGACTTTAGGCAAATGGCTGCTCCTGTTATAGAGAGAAGTCTGAGCTTTCCTGCAAGCATCCAATGAACTAATGCAGTATTTATTTTTATAGTATTTGTCTTAACAATGCACCTGCATACTGAAAATGAGGGAAAGAAAAATATTTCACCAAGTCTTGTCTTTAATACTGACACAGGTTTTCTTCAACACTTGGTTGAAGTCTTGGCTGACTCTTATTGGAATTGTTACTTTAATGTTTTAAGAGCTATTGTATGAAGTGTACCAAGTCACACTGACAGATGCATGAATATCACTGAAAAAATAATATAAAACAAACTAAGAAAGGTTTCAAAAAAAGTAGGGAGTTTGCAAGCAAAAAAATAAAATGCCTAATAACAGGTGAGCGAGAAAAGATGTGGGCTGGGACCTAATTATTCTATTTCTCCTTAATCATAACAATGTACATTCATTTCAGACAAAGGAAAAGAATACAATTTCAGCTGAATATGGATGGCTTATACTTCTCAGTTCAATGAAGATGTCTTACTCCATTGTTGTTTGCAAACCTGCCTGAAAACTGAAACACTTGCAATCCTTATTGCAAACCATACAGCTTCTAGATCCTGAAGTGACTATGCTATAAAATCAACAAACAAAAAATCAATGAAGAGGCTGTGGAAGTTTCCTTTCTGAAGATTTTAAACAAAAGACAGCTCTCCCCTTCCAGCCACCTGATGTGTAAGGCTTCTCCTGGCTTCATGGTTCCATGGCTGTATTCTTCATGAGAGGACAGTGGGAGATTTAAAGTGACACTGTTTAAATGTGGGGTTCCATCTACAGTACGGCCCAGAATGGGGCACCCATTTATTTATTAAGCAAAAAAGACAACATGGGTTTGCTTCTTGTCTTTCTGTCAGATTTCCAAGTAAACTTTTTAATATACTAAAAACCTTGAGGACACAGGCTCAGGAGGAAGTCTACCAGGTTCTCAGATTCACTCACGGAGTTGCTTGCCTGCCCTCTCCAGTAATCTTAAAGTTATGCCCAGTCTGACATTTCTGAGCCACTACAACACTGATAAGCATCTGATGACTGGTGACATATGCAGTGTCTTGCATATGCAGAACTTCACATTCAACAGTACTTCCGCAGCTCATCAAGTAGGTGTGGGGCTCCCTCATGCTGATGCCTGCTTCCGTCCCCTTGGGAACCACCATATCCACCTCTTCCACTAGCAGATCAGAGAAACACAAAGGCTTCAGAGGCCACACACTAAGAACTTCCCTTCCCTAATGCTTGACAGATTATAGAGAACTTTATTTGGTTTTAGCATTAAAAAAGTTTAAGGGACTTTCCAACATCACATACTAGCAGATTTCTAACTGCTTCTCAATAAATCTTCCCATTATAGAAGTCAATGGAAAATCTAATTTAAAGACAATTAAATTTCAAAATTCTTAATTCTACTTCTTGGCATCCATTAGAACTGGGCAGATTTTCATTCAAATCCTTCCAGATAGTTATTTAAGATGGGAAAATTTCTTAATGCATGCTTTGTTGGCCTTACAGCTTTCTGTATAATAACAGGTATTCCCAAATAGGAAAGCCTTTCAGAAGACGCTTCTGCATTCACAACCTTTTATATAAAGTCTGTTCTTTGCTACTTCTCTATTTTGAGAACAATCTACAAACCTAATATTTATTAGTTATTGATAAGGGCCAAAAAAGGGGGCATTGTTGAAACATATCAAAATATACAAAACAAAGATCCACAAAGGATATGACAATTCTCAAAATATAGACAATTCCAAAAGAGGAGCCAGAGTGATGAAATGATGACTCAGTAACACCAGGAGACAAGTCTATCAGGCACATACTTGGGATTCCTAGTGTGGAAACACTCTCAATTATCATTATACATATATTTTGTTAGATAAGAAACTGGTGCACACTTTTGAATTATCATTTGTGTATAGCATGGGAGAACATATCTTAGAGCACTGTGTTAGCTTTGCTTATGTTTGAAACATTTAATTTTCCTTTTTGTACGTTCAGCAATATTAAGTTACATTACAGCCTTAGTGTCAATGGACAAGGAGAGGAAGGCCAGTTTTTCATCTTACTCCCTAATGGGATTTTCCCCTGAAGAAAGCCACAAAACTTAGGCTTCCAATATGACTGATGAACTTCTAAACAGCTGAAAGCCCAAGTGGCTTCTACTCTACTAAAAAGCATTTTTGGAACTAAGAGTAGGTAATTCACAAAGAAATTCATTTACTCCTAAAATTTAGTTCATTTGGTCTGCTTTACTTTTTTACAATAATGATGAGTTTGTTATTGCAGGGTAAGGTCAATATTATCTAATATCTATGCAAAATGGCTAGGATTTCAACTGTTACCCCCTGGGCATCATACATTTATAGAGATTTTATAGATACTTCGGCTAAGGCCTTATAGGGATTTTAAATGACAACACAGAGAGAAACAGATGAATAAGGATTAAAATCTTGGCTTATTAAAAGAATTAAAGTTGTGGCTGGGGCCTGAAAGGCTATAGCCGCATTTATTTTACCTTATTCCTGACCTGCCATAATATGCAACGGAACAGAAGGAATCTGCTTAAACACCTTGAGTAGAGAACTAAATGCCCTGTGATGTGCACGATCTGGTCTGGGCTCCTGTTTCTCCAGGGTAGTATTTTTAATTCATTTTGGCAATAGCTAATAGCATTAATAACGTTTTAAATGCAAAAAGCAAACACTGTACTACAATGTTATGTGCTAATTTAGATTTCGATAAAATAGATAAATCTAAAATAAATAAATAAATCTAAAATAAAATAGACAACATGAATGGTCTGCAGCTCCTTACACGCTGTTGGCTAACCACAGACTTCAAGGTCCTGCTGCATAGACTGCCTGACTTTATGGGCATTCTGATTTTAAAAACAGATAAAAACAGTAGGAGATTCCAAGTATACAAATTCTTTCTTTTACTACCTGTGTTATTACTTAATCAGTACTAAAATATTTCTTTTAATTTTTTTTCATCCTATTCCTGTTTCTATGTATCAAAACTCATACTGATCAGTGAGTTCTGATCTACAAAAGAAGGTTTATTTTTTGCACCTGTATGTCAAAATACTTTGTTACATGGAGATAAAAAGGTTCAACAAGTGCCAGAAGTTCCCCTGATAACAACACTGTGCCTAAATATTGTCACTTATAAATGGAAGTTGTTAATATAACAGCAAAAGATAAAAATAAATCCCTCAGAAAATACTAAGCAATTAGAATGTTATAAAAATAAAGTTAATAAACTAATGCAAGCCAATGTGACATCTTAACATTGAGGAAGTCTGTTCTAGATGTAAAAAAAAAAGTCAACTTCTATGAGTATTACTATAAAAATACCACAAGAACCTTGGCTAACAGTAGTATTGTTGGATGAAAGAACCATTAAAATTAAATAATGACATCTATTTTAAGTTAATACAGTTCAAATTAGTAAATTATTATTTCAAGATAATGAAAAATCAAGATTAATATTTGAACATTATAACATAAAAACAAAGTGAATCTGATTTATAATTGCACATATGAATTCCAACAAGGCTAACAGGAGTTGAACCTTTCAATTCTATGTTCAGATTATTCTTATCACATACCTCTGTTCTCGATAGTTTCTTTTCATGACAAGAAGAGAAGGGGAAGAAAACAAAAGAGTTAGTTATCTCTGGAGTAGCTGAAGAGGGAGCAGTAAATATAAAAGCTCTAGCATTCTCTGGAAGATCTTCCCTAGAGACTCAGAACTGCAGAATTAAAACAGGGAACACACACACAGAGCTTTCATCTTTGGGACAGATGACACCCAAAGATCTGTGACAATACTGTCACATAACTATTTTTAAAGGCATAAATAAGCTGCCGCTGTTCAAGAGCAACTGCTTCTTACCATTAATTGTGCTGTACTAAATATTACTAATGTTCAAAAGTCAACCTCATTTCAAATGCAGGCTTTCAGATGTAGGTACTGATTTAAATAATGAAATTAATAAATGAAGTCACATAAAGATTAACTATATTCTCATAGAAACAAAATCATAATTCATCCCTATTGGAATATATACCCCAAACTATAGCTATTCCTAAGAACTTCAAATACGAGAACATTTCATTGTTCATGAACGTGACAGTGAGCTAACCTGCAGCTGTTAGGTGCTGTCAGGTGCCTCCTAGGTCATTCTGCTTACTCACTGCAAACACCCGTTCCATGTTTAGTTCCTTGACCGTAAGCTAAAGTAAGCTTACGTGAGTTTCAGAATGAACTGATCTAAAGGGTTTGCTTCTGTAGTGCAAGTGGCTTTTTCCAAGAGAATCATTAGCTTCCTATGTGGACATAATTATATGTGCATTCTTGGAAGACATGCTAGAAAGGTCAAATGATCGAGTATTTCTGGATTCCTTCCTCTACGGTCAAGGATAATGATTCTAGATGAACTTCATCTGCCAACCTATTCCATCTACACTACAAGTGTTATGTTTAATAATGGGCATATAGGGTAAAAATGTCAACATGTCGTTACTTTTCATTCCATATAAAATCAGATGAGGTAAAAATAAGCCTAGCATCTTTGAGTCAATATTTTCTAATCTGTATTCCCTCAATCTAATGACCTGAGCTGTACAGTTCTAAATGAGCACTCCTCACTTCCTAGTCCTGGTGGGCCTCACCCCAAGGCTTGGAGAAGAGGGAGAGAGCTTAACTGAAGGCACTAACCAGAAAATGAGTTCTCAGATCCTGAATCTGCTTTTGAATTGCAAGTGAAATGTGTGAAACACCACATTCATGAGTTTAACGCCTCTATTAAAATTTGCATGCTTTCATCCTATGTTTAAATATTCTGAATAAGAAACATTAACACTTTAATCGTTCAGATTCAATAATTTAGGAAGAGGAGCCGGCACTGTGAACACGACTTGTCTTTTTCCCTAATCCATCTGCAAAGTGCACATATTCTCAAGTGAAAACAGTAAGGCCTCGACAGAACGTCAGAAATTCAGAAATCACGCGTTTAACTCTGATCGTGAAAACAAACATGCAATTTCAGGAGCAACAGGAGCAGGTGTGTGGGTTTCATATTTTCTGAAAGGGCAGATTTTCCAAGATTACAAAAATGAAATGTGCTTGCAGCAGGAGGCAGGAAGTCACAACCGGCTTTCCTCTCCATTTTCACGTGACCAAAAAAAAACCACGGAGCTACTTCAAAACGGCGATGCTCACTACCAGTAGCATACAAGGGAGGCCAAGTAAACAGGCTAACCTGCCTGTGGAGCGGGTCAAGGGTGCACAAAGAAGCCTTCCTTTCAGATGGGTAATTTCCTAAGTCTCAATGTTGGGCTGAAGTAAGACTGTTAGTGTGCACTGTACCTCAAAACCTCCCACCAGAGAGGCCCAAAGGGATCTGCGTGGGTGTGAGCATGGACCATCACGTAGGACAGGGCTAGGGCTCATTTCCTAGGGCACAGCTCTCTACTGTGCTGAGCCATGTCAGCCATGCTACTCCAATCCTCACCATGGCCATCTGCCACCTACCACAGTCCCCAGAGGGCCTTCTGTGCCTCAGTACTTGTAGCATAAGAATGACTGTGGCAATAAACGAACTGCTCTTTCTTTTCAAAGACACTCTTTCAGGGTTTATATGCAAATGCCATGTGCATATTTAAGTTTCCTTTCACCATACAGAAATGATTAAGAAGATATGAGCGGATGCTTCAAACAGTTCTTGGAAAATGGAATTAAAAGATAAATTTTATTTTGGAGCAAACAAGTTTTGATATCCATGCAGGATTTTCATAGCACAAAGTCTCCATGAACTTTACAACAACCCTTCATACATTAACTCACAAAACAAAGGTGAGCCAAAGGAAGGGTTCTGGATAATTTTAGTCTATAATATCTAATTTCCAAAATTGCTAGTGATCTCAGTGTGATTCATGAGGAAAAATATGCTATCAAATGGGATAAAATTCTCGGAGTGCAGAGCAGAAGTTGCAGGCTTCTAAAACGAGAAAAACCCTGGGCCTGTGGATTACAACTCCCTCATCAGATCAGCAGAAAATGATTTTTAGTTGAAGTGAAGTGAAGTGAAGTCTCCCCACATTTAAGATTTAACTCATTTAACCTAAATCATCTACTTAAATATTAAGGACAGTTTTTACATCATTAGATAAAAGTTCTTAAAATGAAGACTGACCATGTTAATTATACAAATAGGGTTTGAAGGTGTCAAGGTATTTACTTAGCAAAATGTTTAAGAGTCTCAAATATTATTCAAAAGTTGTATGACTCACAACTTGTTAAAATTTATATGTAAAACCCAAACAGCTGAAAGCTAAACTCAGCAGCTTAAGAAAGAAGTTAGGCTTTCCAAATTTGTAACCTGGGATTGAAATGTTTTTAATATTTATTTACGAAGTAGAGAGACACAGAGAGGGAGACAAAGAGAAAGAGTTCCCATCTGCTGGTTCATTTCCCAAATGCCTGGAATGGCAAAGGGGAGGCTGGGAGCCAGGAACTGAATCCGGGTCTCCCACATGGGTGTCCGAAGCCCAATTACTTGAGCCATCACTGCTAGCTCCCAAGGTCTACTTCAGCAGGAAGCTGGAGTCAGGAGCTGTGGCTGGAATTGAACCAGGCACTATGATATGGAATGCAGGTATCTTTAACTGCAAGCTCAAATGCCCACCCTGAATTTTATTTTATTTTTTAAGATTTGTTTATTTATTTGAAGGGCAGAATGATGGAGGGAGAAGAGAGACAGAGATCTTCCATCTAAAAGGTTCACTGCTCAAATGCCCACACAGCTGGGGCTGGTCCAGGCAGAAGCCAGGAGCCAGGCACTCCATCTGGGTCTCCCACAGGGGTGGCAGGGATGCCCATACATGGGCCATCGCCTGTTGCCTCCTGGGTGTATTAGCAGGAAGCTGCATCAGAAGTGGAAGAGCCAGGATCTGAACCACAGGATTTGCCACAACACCCAGCCCAGAATTTCAATGAATCTCATAACAGTCTTTTCTTCACATAATGGACAAAGAGTGCCTCTTCCATACTGGTCATGAAGACAAAGAGGTTTTGCCTTATGAAGCAGATCAGCTGCTACTCTTCTTGTTGCTGTGAATGTGGCTAGCACAGCACGAAGGGATCTGGTTGACTGTCTTGCTCTCATCTGGGGGCATTGGTTCAAGTCAAGAGAAGCTCTGGCACTAAAGAGCAAACCAAACTAGCCTTTGTAGAAGACATAATTTATTCAGATGCCTTTTAATCCACATCAATGCCTTCAACAATATTCAATACTCATAGAATAAAGACAAGCTGTCTCAAAAGTTTCAAAAAATGATCACTTATTATTCCAACTATGCCATGAATAATCAGATTGACCACTGAGTCAGATAAATTTGCACTCAAGTATGAGTCACAAGCATTCTATCTAAAGGCACAGAACTTTCCACATGTTTTCATTTAATCAAAATGCTTAAAAGCAAATTTTGACAGTAATAATATTGAAACATTGCACTTACTTATATCCCCATGCAGTTATTCCTAATATAAGGGCCAGCACTAAAATGGTGCCAGCTATTATGCCTATTATGATATTGGTGCCAGCTACACCTGTAACAAAAAACCAAGAAAGAAACTAGATCAGTGATCTACAATTCGTTCAGGAAATTTACTCTCCAGATTTGTAAGCATTATACTACTAATATTTTTTAAAGAAAAAAATGAGTATTTTCCAAAGGAAGAAAATCATAGTTCAGTAATTACATCAAGTGTTTTTTTAAAAAAATAATTTTTTGTGTATGTTGCTTTTTAATTCTTGTCTGAGCACATTTTGCACAGTTGTATTTTCCATGTATTTTTATGCAAAATATGATGTCACTGACATAAAGGCAGGCGCAGTGACGGCACAAAGGGAAAGGAAATGCTACTCCATGGCACAGCACCTGTCAGGGAGGACCCTTTAGAAAGTTCCTCTTAGCCGGCGCCGCGGCTCAACAGGCTAATCCTCCACCTAGCGGCACCAGCACACCGGGTTCTAGTCCCGGTCGGGGTGCTGGATTCTGTCCTGGTTGCCCCTCTTACAGTCCAGCTCTCTGCTATGGCCCGGGAGTGCAGTGGAGGATGGCCCAAGTACTTGGGCCCTGCACCCCATGGGAGACCAGGAGAAGCACCTGGCTCCTGCCTTCGGATCAGCGCAGTGCGCGGGCCGCAGCGGCCATTGGAGGGTGAACCAATGGCAAAAGGAAGACCTTTCTCTCTGTCTCTCTCTCACTGTCCACTCTGCCTGTCAAAAAAAAAAAAAAAAAAAAAAGAAAGTTCCTTTTGACTGTTAATTCTTTCTCAGAAACTAGAAATGTTACTGCTCACATCACTCCACTTTGGTTTGTTTGTTTGTTTGTTTTTATTATTATTTGACAGGCAGAATTAGAGAGAGAGACAGAGAGAAAGGTCTTCTTTCCATTGGTTCACCCCCAAAATGGCCCGCCACGGCCATCATGCTGTGCCGATCTGAAGCCAGGAGCCAGGTGCTTCCTCCTGGTCTCCCACGCGGGTGCAGGGCCCAAGCACTTGGGCCATCCTCCTCTGCCCTCCCGGGCCCTAGCAGAGAGCCGGACTGGAAGAGGAGCAACCGGGACTAGAACCGGAGTCCATATGGGATGCCGGCGCCGCAGGCAGGGGATTAACCTAGTGAGCCATGGCACTGGGCCCACATCACTCCATTCTGACAATTAATATAAGACCTTATTGCTTTGGGTCTCTGTGTGGTATTGTCTCTCTCAAAGTGAATATAAACTTCTGCAGGGAGAAAACATGCCTACAGGTTTACAGGATTAGTACATTATATGAGTATAACTTTGCATTATCACAAAAATAATTCAAACAAAAATGTCTGATGGGCAGTTTTTTCTTTCCTTGTGAATAAAGACTATATAAAGACTATACCTACCATTACCAGACAGAGTGATCCCAGCCTTTGTGTCATCATTGTGAGGGAAGTAAGTGTTACAGTCAGCACCTGTCCAGTGCCTGTTACACACACACTTCAGCTCGTTACTGCACACCTGCAAGCCAAAATCAAACAGAATTAATACCAACTCGCCAGTACACAGCAATGAAAAATGAACACTAATTTGTAATTATTTTATGCTTAGAATTTGGTAACACTGAAAACTGTTGGTACTTTCTTCCTAATACTAATAACTTTTATCTCACACTGCAGTACCAGAAAATATATACTTTTTTTTTTCTAGAGAAAAAAGTTGACCCAAAAGGGACAATGAATTTTTAAAATTAATTAATTACTGAGAAAGGCAGAGCAACAGAGAGAGAGAGGGAGAGACGAAGATCCTCCATCTGCTGGCTCATTTCCCAAATAGCTTCAAGAGCCAGGTCTGGGCTGTGCAGAAGCCAGAAGCCAAGAATTGCATCTTAGTCTGCCACATGGGTAGCAGGGGCCCGCGCACTTGCACCATCCTCCGCTGCTTTCCCGGGTGCATTATTAGCAGGGAACCAGCATGAAAGTGAAGCAACCAGGACTCCAACTGGTGCTCTGACATGGGATGCCGGTGTCTCAGGCGGCAGCTTCACCTGCTGCACCACAACACCCACTTCAGAACAGCGAATCTCAGGAGAGGAACGCACATAGCTCTTCAAAAACCTCAATGACATCATTGTTTGACTTTCATTGACTTAAGTTTTATGAGGGAGATTTTTAAAAATTAGCAGCAGACATACAATCATCTGTCAATTATCTAATACAAAGGCTTTTTGTCTTCTTCCAAGAAGAGGGATTTTGTGCATAACGTTATTAATTTTCTTAGGAAGCAGAAGATAAGGAAACGTGCGACAGAGAAGCGGGGTGGCCTGCTGGTGCGCAGGGCTGAGAGAAAAGCTCCACAAGGAAAACTTCACACTGAAACGGCACCAAATCTTTTTCATTATGAACAATCTCTATGCATTTATTCCGCCAAGAAACAGAATCTACCCCTGAATCTTATCATTCAAAGTAACTCTGAATGGAGTAGGAAGTAGAACAGAGTTAAATTAAGTTTCAGACCAGGAAGTGCTGCCCAAGACAGTGCCTCACGGCACAGGTTTCTGTCTCGTCTGATCTGATTTTTCAGAAGTCAACATCCACCCACATATAAATGTAGCTATAAAAAAGCCCCATCAAGGGGCCAGCACTGTGGTGCAGCAGGTAAAGCTGCTGCCTGCAGTGCCGATAACCCATATGGGCGCTGGTTCAAGTCTCCACTGTCCCACGTCCCATCCAGCTCTTTGCTATGGCCTGGGAAAGCAGCAGAAGATGGCCCAATTCCATGGGCTCCTGAACCCTCATGGAAGACCTTGAAGAAGCTCCCTTTCCCTCTGAGCCTGAAGGCAGGTGTGTCTCCCTGACCCTCTGTGCTGGAAGACAGGTGTGTCTCCCTGTCCCTCTGAGCCAGAAGACAGGTGTGTCTCCCTGCCCCTCTGTGCCGGAAGACAGGTGTGTCCCTGTCCCTCTGTGCCGGAAGACAGGTGTGTCTCCCTGTCCCTCTGTGCTGGAAGACAGGTGTGTCTCCCTGTCCCTCTGTGCTGGAAGACAGGTGTGTCCCTGTCCCTCTGTGCCGGAAGACAGGTGTGTCTCCCTGTCCCCCTGAGCTGGAAGACAGGTGTGTCTCCCTGTCCCTCTGTGCCGGAAGACAGGTGTGTCTCCCTGTCCCTCTGTGCCGGAAGACAGGTGTGTCTCCCTGCCCCTCTGTGCCGGAAGACAGGTGTGTCTCCCTGCCCCTCTGTGCCAGAAGACAGGTGTGTCCCTGTCCCTCTGAGCCTGAAGACAGGTGTGTCCCTGTCCCTCTGTGCCGGAAGACAGGTGTGTCTCCCTGTCCCCCTGAGCCGGAAGACAGGTGTGTCTCCCTGTCCCTCTGAGCCGGAAGACAGGTGTGTCTCCCTGTCCCTCTGTGCCGGAAGACAGGTGTGTCTCCCTGTCCCTCTGAGCCGGAAGACAGGTGTGTCTCCCTGTCCCTCTGTGCCGGAAGACAGGTGTGTCTCCCTGTCCCTCTGTGCCGGAAGACAGGTGTGTCTCCCTGTCCCTCTGAGCCAGAAGACAGGTGTGTCCCTGTCCCTCTGAGCCTGAAGACAGGTGTGTCTCCCTGTCCCTCTGTGCCGGAAGACAGGTGTGTCTCCCTGTCCCTCTGAGCCGGAAGACAGGTGTGTCTCCCTGTCCCTCTGTGCCGGAAGACAGGTGTGTCTCCCTGTCCCTCTGTGCCGGAAGACAGGTGTGTCTCCCTGTCCCTCTGTGCCGGAAGACAGGTGTGTCTCCTGTCCCTCTGAGCCAGAAGACAGGTGTGTCCCTGTCCCTCTGAGCCTGAAGACAGGTGTGTCTCCCTGTCCCTCTGAGCCGGAAGACAGGTGTGTCTCCCTGTCCCTCTGTGCCGGAAGACAGGTGTGTCTCCCTGTCCCTCTGTGCCGGAAGACAGGTGTGTCTCCCTGTCCCTCTGAGCCAGAAGACAGGTGTGTCTCTGCCCCTCTGAGCCTGAAGACAGGTGTGTCTCCCTGCCCCTCTGAGCCTGAAGACAGGTGTGTCCCTGTCCCTCTGAGCTGGAAGACAGGTGTGTCTCCCTGTCCCTCTGAGCTGGGAGAGTGCCCATCCTCCCAGTGAGGACAACAGCCTGCCATCCCCCAGCTTCCTCTGGCATATCCCTCAGGTGTGTGTGTGACTGATAGGGATCAAGGGCTCACAGTTCCAGATCAGGGATCCTCTGCCTCAGCTGGATAATACAACCAGTAAAGCCAACAGTGAAAGGAAAAGCACACAGCACAGACTCAAAGAAACAGAACGCACATTTCTGTATTGGTATCAACTCTTCACTGGACAAGACAATAGAGAATCCTCGCTAACAGAGGATAAATTCTTACCCTGTGAACTGACATACTGAGGACCTACAGTATCTGAACGAGAACTGAAAGACAGAAAGTAAACTGTCTCACACCAGGGAGACTTCCCCTGGCGCATGCCGTTCTCACTCCTAGGATGCGCTCCGAGAGGGTACACACTGCTCTGCCTACAGCCCTCATGGCTGTCTGCTCTGATAACTCAGTGCCCAGACCACACACCACAGCATCCCCCTGCTTTTTTTTTTTTTTTAATCCTGTTAGCATTTATTACAATCCATTTCCCAACTCACTTGTGGAAAGCTGGTATTACATGAGGCCACATTTACATAAGAGGAAAGAAGAATTTGGTTACAAAGATTTTCCTTTTTCCTTTTGCCTAAACTCTCTGGGATTCCAGAACAGAAGCATTCCAGTAGTCATGATCAAATGAGAAACAGATAATGGGGCTTTCTGTAATTAGGGAAATACTTCTGTGACAGAAAAGAAATGAACAGTTCCTCAGGCGAGGTGCCAGATACTTACTCCGTTTCCTGAACAGACAGTGCCTTCTTTACTGCTTAAGCAAGTGCTGAAGTTGAAAGACGCCACGGGAAGGCACCTGTGTTCTAAGCACATCATTTGGGGACCACATGGTGTCCCATCCTCCACATAGCCAAGATCCACGTCTTCTTCCAGCTTCACATGTCCGCCACTAAACACGGTCAGGAAGAAAAGGAAAGCGCTGTTCTGTTAATTCAGTCTTCCTGAGAACAGGCCCGAAATCTCGAAACTGGACATCACTTCTCCTATCTACCACCCGTAACTGTGATCAAATCCAACAGCACAATCGTGTTGAACATCTCTTTTAATCTTTCTGCATAAATTGATAACATTTAGTATTCTAACACGATAGTTATCACAAGGGTCTGAATTGCAATGGCTGTATCATTTTGCCTTGGCTGTGATGTGCAAGTCCAGGAAGCCATTATTAGTAGTACTTTATTTGATAAGCAGGTTTCAAGGTCTCAAATGTGTTTCAAAGATGGAAGTGATTTGGGGTTTTTATTTCCCAAAAGATTGCATATGTACAAATTATATTTGAGAATAACTAAACTATTGTAGCTTTACCATACAAATAACAAGCCTACATCCTATTTAGAAATTTTTTTAAAAACACAATGAGAATTTAACGTGTATATTTAAAATCAATTTATTTATATGGTACTATGTCAACACTAGTATAAAATCTTCATTCTTCTGATTTACTTATTTTATCCAAATTATACATGTACATAGCTTAAATAGTTAAATAGTTTCTCAATTATAATAAAGCATCCTCCTGTCATTACTCCTCCACATATTATTCCTGGGAACATAATAATTTATATCCCTAATTGATTTTTAAGTATTTATTCATTTATTTATTTGAAAGGCAGAATGATATAGAAGAAGAGACAGAAACAGAGATATCTTCCACTTATTGGTTTCATCCCCAAATACCTGCAAAAGACAGGGCTGGGCCAGGCCAAAGCCAGAAGCCAGGAGCTGCACTGGTCTTCTCATGTGCAACCCAGGTACTTAGACCATCATCTGCTGCCTCCCAAGTGTTTAGAAGGACACTGGATCAGAAGCAGAGGAGGGACTCAAGCCTAGGCACACAGATTTGGGGTGCAGGTGTCCCAAATGGCGGGTTAATATGCTGTGCCACAATACTCATCCCCAATATCCTCTTTTGTTATTTATTTATGCATGTATTGTTAAATAGTGAGTTTGTATTACTATTTTTATTATTGAATTTTATATATTATCAGCTGACTTCCCTCTGTAGAATTTGAAAGTTTACCTCTTCTCCTTCCTTCTCACACTACACCCATAAATTTCCATTTTCCCTATCTTTCCATTTTAAACTTTTGCTTAATTGATAGTTAAATCAATTACAAATATGCACATTATAACTACACAAATGTTACTCAGCTGACTGATAGGCCAGGATTAAATCCTTTCCCTACACAACATTTTCTTTTCCTTCAGCAAGCCATTTATTTGTGTGCTGTTTCTTGCCTACTTTTCTAAGAATGTGTCACTAATTCAAAAGTAACCCAAGCTCTGTGCTGGCTGTCAGAATCTCCACAATGTGTCTGAGCGTCGCTCCTCCCACTAGAGCTCTCTCCCAAGGCTGCTCCTGTCCAGCTGTCTCCCTGTATCCGGCACAGACCTGTAAATCTTGGATTCTCCCCTCTACCGATTTCCAGCAGCTTCCTGGGAAAGGGCGTAGAAGTGTACATTTTGCAAAACTTGCATCTCCGCGGAAGTCTCTATTTTCTAACCTCACACCTGAAGGACAGCTCGTCAGGGCTGGAAATAACGTTTTCTACTGTCCTCTAACTGCTGGAACTCCCGTGGGTAAGTCCTGGGCCATTCGAACTCCTGTGGCTTGCTTTCTTCCTCCCCTGTGGAATCCAGGATTCTTTTCACTGTTCTACGGTTCCAGAGTTTGTAATGGTCCACTGAGATTTGCCTGTGATTTCACTCATGGTACCAGGACTTGGTGAGCTGTCGATGCGGAAACTCGAGCCTCCTTACTCTTGAGTTATTTGCTGACATTCCCTCACTGCTGTTCCCCGCCCCTCCTTTTTCTTTTTTTTAACTTCTAATTTGTTAAGTTTTCCCCCAGTTCCATTTCTTTGCCTCTTTTGCCCTATTTTCTAGGAAATAATTTCAACTACTGAGCTTTATTTCTGCCACCATATTTTAAATTTCCAACAGCAAGTTTTCCTTCACTGAACGGCCTGTTTTTTTTTTTTTTTTTTTCTTTTTCAGTCAGAGTTACACAGAGAGAGGAGAGGCAGAGAGAGAGAGGTCTTCCATCTGTTGGCTCACACCCCAGATGGCCACAATGGTCGGAGCTGTGCCAATCTGGAACCAGGAGCCAGGAGCTTCTTCCAGGTCTCCCACGTGGGTGCAGGGGCCCAGGGACTTGGGCCATCTTCTACTGCTTTCCCAGGCCATAGCAGAGAGCTGGATCGGAAGTGGAGCAGCCGGGACTAGAACTGGCTTCCAAGCCGGCGCTTCAGGCCAGGGCGTTAACCCGCTGTGCCACAGTGCCGGCCCCATGTTGCTATTGTTAACAGCACTCTATTTTCTTATTTTGTGACAGAAATCTCTCGTACCTCATGGATATTAATACTTCTGTTTCTTTTTTTTCATGTGAGAGACTTCCTTCATATTTTAGCTAGGGGGCCAAGGTAGGTCTTACGACGGAGGCTGGACCATTTCCATATGACCCTGGCATCAACAGTGCACACTGTCCCCAAGCTTAGAAGCCATTTCTTTAATTCTCTGTGGAGTACACAAATCTTCCATGGAAGGGTGGGCACTCCCCAGTGTATCCCAATCAGGAAAGTGAGCTCCAGGCATATCTAATGGCTTCTTTAATACATCAGCCCACCCATCTCCACTCTTTTCTCCCTCTTCCAAGTATACAGGACACATCTAATCCCTGAGCCTTTTGGAAAGTCTCAGTGTTATCCTGGATTGGTCCTCGGTTTCCCCATTACTGATGGGAATTCAGCTATCTTAGCACTGATCACCCTTGCACTACATACCTGCTCGTTCCACCCACTCAAAAATGTCAATGATGTTGCTGCTTCCTTCTTTCTGTGCCTCCCTGTGGATTTATCAGTTCTAAAAAGGATCTATTTACAAGGCAAGAATTTAGCCTAGTGTTAAGCTGCTGGTTGGGATGCCTACATCTCCTATTGGGTACCTGGGGTTGAAGCCTAGCTCTGCTCTTTTTTATTTATTTAATGAATGTGTTTTTATGTAGATACAACTTTAGGAATACAGTGGTTCTTTCTCCCATGCCCTCCACTTCGCTCCCTTCCCGCCCCCCATTCCCTCTCCCATCTCCTTCTGCATTGTAGATCATTTTTGGTATGACTTTAACCAGAGAGGACCATCTCTATGCTCATCGTAGATTTCAACAATTTGCCCCCACACCCACACACAACATACAGAGTACAGTTTGGGGAGAGAACTTGCAGTCAATTCTCATATTGCAATTCAATAGGGACAGAGGTCCTATCTGGGGAGCAAGTGCACAGTGACTACTGTTGTTCCTTTAACAATTAACACTCTTTTTGATGGTGTCAGTGATCATCCGAGGCTCTTGTCTCAAATCCAGCTTTCTGTTACTGCGCACACTGGGAGGCACTGAGTGGTGGCTCAAGTAGGACTGAGTTTCCAGCTCCCAGCTTTGACCCGGCCCTGTCTCGGCTGTGGAGGGCAGGTGGGAGTGGACCAGTGAACGGCAGCTCTCTCTGTCGCCTTCCCTCTTTCCCTCTTTTCCTTCCGTCTTGCTCTCTCTGCCCCATCCTTTCTTTTCTTTTCTCCTCTCCTCTGCTTTCCTTTCCTCTCTCCCTCTGAAATAAATGAATAAATACGAATTTTATAGATCTATTTAAACAGGCATTTGGCTTAGTGGATAAGATATCTGTGTCCCACACTGCAGTGCCTGGGTCCAACTCCTGGGGACCGACTCCAGCCTCCTGCCAGTGCAGACCCTGGGAGGCAGGGGTGATGGCTCAGGTCACTGGGCTCCTGCCACTCTCATGAGAGACCTCACTTGTGTCTCCAGCTCCTCGGCTCCAGCTTTAGCCCAACCCTGGCCAATGTGGCATAAACCAGCAAATGAGAGCTTGCTCTTGTCCTCTTTCTCCTTTTCTCTCTGCTCTCAAGTAAGAAGAAAATAATAATAAAAAAAAGTTAAAGATTCATTTAATGATGTTTTAGTGGGATTTCAGAAGAGATCAAAAGTGGATCTACATAGTTGGTCAACTGGCTGTAACCACAAGTCCCCATTCATCTTTCTCAATAAGAAAGAAATGTAAACTAAGACTGTACTGACCAACTAAACATGCCTCAACTAACCACATGACACTCTACATTCAACCTTGCACCTCTATTCCGTCAGGATTGTCTCAGTCATCTCCTTGGGTGGAGAGACCGTATTCCAGCTTGAGAACACGCCGGGGAACCGAAGACAGGGGGCGCTACACAGCACTCCTGGGAAGCGCAAGGACTAACGGAGTGGTTACTCGGTTACCTGCAGTTTAACGTCCTCCCCTGCTGCACAACCACGGCAGACGTGATCTCACCATCGAGCTCTCCGAGCCGTGGGATGTTACCGACGTTAGTGCACAACAGGTAACCGCAGAGCACGTCCCTGTGTTGAAAGAGTACCAATCATTTACTTCATCTCCTTCCCCAAAGATACAGAGAACCACGCAGAGCAAGAAAGATAAACTCTCATTTTAACATTGGGTTTTCAGCAACTACATGATTAACTCATGAGCCAGGCAGAGGAAAACAAGGCCAAAGGAACTGACCTCCTACTCTACAAAGTCTCCTCTCTGAAACTCTTCTTGGTGCACCCAGATCCCAGTGGTTTCCTATGCTTTCCTTTACTGTCCACTGGTTCACGTGCTGAGCTAAAGGAAAGTATCCACGAAATGGACTTTCTTAGTAATTCTTTCCACATAACGCATCACTGGATATGTTAAATTATTTTTTAAATATTTTATAGGTGAACAAATGACCTTTGGATGAGTATTCTTTTGTAATGCAGATGTTTCTACAGTCTGTATCCCAAGAACCAAAGAAGAGATTATATACCATATATATTTTATAGATTTCCAGACAAAAGGCGCATTTTTTCCTTTTTTAACATATTTCATTGCTTCCCCAACTACTGCGTAGGATTCTAAGCTAACCTATAAAACATTTTCACTGGTATAAAATACCATCTTAAATATTCTACATGTCTAACAATTTTAATTATTAATAGATAATATACATGAATTTTAATATTTATTTGATGAAGACTAATTTGTAGGTCACTGAGATTATATATGGAAATATCAGATTTATCAGATGGAGAAAAGAGAAAAATAGGATCTGCATCCATCAACATAGAAAAAATGTATAATTCATTCTTTTTTTTTTTTTTTTTTTTTTTTTTTGGACAGGCAGAGTGGACAGTGAGAGAGAGAGAGAGAAAGGTCTTCCTTTGCCGTTGGTTCACCCTCCAATGGCCGCCGCTGCAGCCGGCGCACCGCGCTGATCCGATGGCAGGAGCCAGGAGCCAGGTGCTTTTCCTGGTCTCCCATGGGGTGCAGGGCCCAAGCACCTGGGCCATCCTCCACTGCACTCCCTGGCCATAGCAGAGAGCTGGCCTGGAAGAGGGGCAACCGGGACAGAATCCGGCGCCCCGACCGGGACTAGAACCCGGTGTGCCGGCGCCGCAAGGTGGAGGATTAGCCTATTGAGCCACGGCGCCGGCCTATAATTCATTCTTTAAAAATAAATTTTAAATCATATAACTACTTTACTGTTCTTATAAAACTTTCTAAACACAGAAGCAATGGTCATTCAAAAATTTTGGAGTAACATTTATGTGTATGAACCTTAGTGATTTGGAATATAAAAAGAAAATTAGATATCATCTTTATTCTCAAAGAAATTACACTCTGGGTTAAAAAGTTAAATCATACACATAAAGAACTATCAAGCACAGATTAGTGTCAATATATTTAAGAATAGTACTGAAGGATGTGGAAGTGTTGAGGAAAAGAGGGAGACGGTTTATTTCCAGAGTCAAATCAGGGAAAGATTTAGAGAGATTTATATTTTACAATTGGGCTTTGAAAGATGAGTAAATTTTCGCCTGTTGATGGTATGGCTACAAACGGTACTTCCCAGGGAATAAACGGCACAAACACAGGCTTGGGGAAGGATGTATTAATATCCATATTAGAAATGTTAGAGTTTGCCAGACTTTGGAAGACTAGAGAAAACAAAAGTATAGGTTGGGGGAAATTGTGGAAGAGGTACAGGGCCAAGTTAAGGTTCTATTTTATTTGGTGAACAAGATCGTGTGACACTCAGAAAAGTGGTTAGGAGAGGTTTCTGAAATCGGAATGCCTGAATTCTAATTCTACTTCTATTACATCCTAGCTGCCTGACCTGGGGCAAATCAATTAAACGTGTCTCATCTTCCTTGAGCACAGACGGGGAGGACTGCCAGATGAAAGGCTATACTTACAAAAAGTGTGATGCAGTGCTTAGCACATGGTGCACACTCAATAAATATTGGTTGTTACTATTCTTACTATTAACTAGCTATGTGGAACCAGTGAGATTTGGACAAAGAATTGGCATAGTCCAAAAGATTCTGAAGATTATTCTGATGGTAGTAGCTTCTTAGAGTCTGCTGGCACAGCGAACCAAAAAGAGGATTCTGTGACAGTTGAAGCTCAATACAGGTCTGAGATCGGGCAACGGCAATAGAAATAGAAATTAAAGACAAATGGAGGGGGAGCAAAAGGGAAGAATGGGTGATCCGGCAAGTGGACAATGTGAAGAGGGAGGGCAGATCACTTGGAGGTTTCTGAACAAAAACAGTGAGATACTGAGACCTTTGGCAAAAAAAGGTGTTGGTATAGAAAAGCCAGAGCCAGCTACTCATTCAAAGGCACTGAGTGCATACTCTGATGGCTTTAACTCCTGCTGCTTCGCAGACGCTGGAATCTTCTAGGTGAGCAGTGCCAAAACCTGGGCCTTAGGAGAGGGGGAGGGTCCGTGTCAAGATCTGGGGAGCCCTCTGCACAGGCAAGGCAGGGCCACTGAGGAGGGACAGGTGAGCAGGCAAGAGCCTGCTCTGCAGGATGCAGAAAACCGCCAACTCAAAACTTCTGCTTCTAACTGCCTGAGGGCTGAGCTCCAGGCCGACTCCCGCCTCACCGTTTGTTGCACTGAATCCATGTGTCTTTGTCTTTCCCACAGTTACCCTTCTCCGTCCCTTCGATGTTCAGTTTCTCGTAGCAGTATTTGTCTGATGCCTTCACCTCTGATGCAGAACAGAAAGTTTTTTATCAGTGAGGGAGATAACATGTGAGTTGCTCAAACTGTTTGCAGTCAAGGGTAACTGCAACCTAACCTCTTCACTGAAATGTTATCAGTTCCCAAGACTGCACCCACGGCTCACCAGAGCTATAGGGCAGACGTCTATGACTCAGGTGGATTTTTCATGACTGCTTATGGGAAATTTTGAAAAAAAAAATAATTTCTGATGGCAATCAGAAATAGACTGCAAAAGTAACACATATCAGGAACTGACTAGTAATTATGGGAAGATACTATCTAATGGTTCCTTGAATAAAAAATACTCCACTCTTCAATCTCAGCACCAAATGTAATGCATGATTCCTCACTCGGCATCTTTATTAGTCATAAATGAAATTTTATTAAAATAGTTTGCAATATAATTAGATTTGAGAAACTGGTAGAATTTCCTTCCTTCTTAATAATTCTTAGCTTTCAAAATCAATTTTACTCTGCTTTTAAACAAGCTTGAATTCAAGCTAAATCTCTGACAGTAAAATAACATTTTACGGCACGTAAGCATCCTAGATTTTCTTCTCTGAAGCCGAGATTGCTTCGTAGAGTTATCTAAGAGCATAAAATGACTTTTTACAAACAGATCAAAGGATGGCTGTTGGCATAAATTAAAAAGACGCAACTAATTATGTTGATAGTTCCTTTTTTTTGCTCAAGTCCTAGAAATAAAACTATGTGTCTTTGTTCAGAGTATAAACCTGTATGACTAAAATTCTCAATCCCAACGCTTCCAGTTGCTTAAAAAGAGCATATACTATACTTTTGCTTCTAAAG